CAATTAGACTGTGGTTCAACTCCTCGACCATGTATGATCAGACGCCAACTCGACTGGCCATGATGCTGCTCCCGACGATAGCAGCGGTGCACTTTCTGCACCAGAAGTCCCAAGGTGTGGAGATACTCCCCTGGGCCGTGCTCACAGAGCTGCTAGAGAGAGTGAAGGGGCTTGGGCTCATCACTAAGGATGAGATCCTGAACCTTGCCGTGGAGATACTCCCGGAAGGTGGGATTCGACAGGTGCTCACACACCTCCACTCCATCTCGGGCATCGATGAATGGGGACAAATCCGGCACAGAAGACGAAGAGCCCTGCTCGAACAGGGGATGCAGTACCTCTCTCTGGTTCGCATCCACGCTGGAGACCTGATTTCCCCAGCAAGCCTCGGTTACCATCGGTACGACTTGGAGATAATGGAACGAGAATCCCATATCACGGGATACATCGCCAAATATCTCCCTGCTGAGTACCAAGAGGCCTATCAAGCTGATGTGCAGACGTTGAGGTCTCAGTTTTTTGCTGAAGACGGCAAACTTAACCTGGCCTCGGCGACGTGGGAGGTATCTTACAATCACCTCATGGCCGCCACTTCCTGAGCCAAGTGAGAAGAGGAGATGCTCCCTAAGCAAGAGCTCCTGTAACAAATAGAGGAGTTTCTCCCTCGTTAGGCGTAGAGCTGGCGGAGTTACTCCCCAGGGGTTTTTGAACTAGTAAAGAGTCACAGGTGGAGCTTCTCCCCTAGTTGGTGGAGCTTCTCCCCCAACGAGGGGTGTACAGCTGGTGGAGTCTCTCCCTAGGGGTTTTTAAAAGCTTTGAGTCGCTGCCTGCAATAATTCTGCCTGCACTGAGCCACACTGAGCCAACAGCAATTCACCATCCGTGATGCAGGTCTCCTCGTGGTGGCCTGGAGCTCAGTGGCCTAGGCCCAGCTGCCTGCTTAGAAGCCAGCTTGAGCCAACAACCGCAGCTTTCTCTCAAGACTCAGCATCATGTCCAGACCTGAGTCAACACAGGATCCCTCGTTTCAGGCGGAGTACGAGGAATTCTGCCAGCGACGGATACGTGAACAACTTCCGCATGTCACGTATCGCAATTTCCTGCGCCAGTGGAGGCGCTCCGCTCGTGCTCACGGCGAAAGCTATCCTGCATACAAAGGAGTCTCTAAAGGTACTGGTGGACAGGAAGAGCTGGGAAGTGGAAAGGGTGGAGTCACTCCCCCTCCTCCTCCTTCCAAGAAAAGAAGTACAGGGCAAAGCGAGGGTGGAGATACTCCCCCAGCAGCAAAGGCCAAGAGTGGAGATCCTCCCTCGGGGGACTCAATCACGGAGGCTGCGATCAAAGTTCTTCAGTCAGCTGGTTATACGCCCTTTCCCAGTCTGATTTCAGACTGTGATGGGAACATCACTGACCTGAACAATCACCGAATTATGGTGACAGTAACTCAGCAGCTGCGAGATGGCCTCAATCAGGCGGAACGACCCTCCCCGGAGATAGCCAATGCTCTCCTGGAGACCTTCCTGGCCTCTCGCCGGGGACTTGCCAATGAGCCTCTGCAGCCGAAGCTTGGATATCCCACAGCTGAGGAGAATGGGTGGTTTCGTTTTGAGTATTCTTCACCGAACATTCTTCCTGCAGGGGACAGCGAGGTTGCGTTCCACGGCACACACCTGGAATGTTTGCATGGGATACTGGCCACAGGCAGGCTACTACCTTCGACACCTGACCTCTCCGGCACGCGAAGCTTCGAGGCACGACCAGGTGTGTATCTCCACAAGATGTCAAACAGGCATCTTGCTGCCGGTTACAGTTGTCTGGTGAGGATAGGACCTCGGCACATATTCGTGCGGCCCATGTTTGAGGTGGAGGCTGCGCACTCTGGATCGCAAAAACGTGGTAAGAAAACAAACCAACTGATATACTCCTATGATGCAGTCAAAATCCGAGCGCTGCTACTGCAAATATCAACCAAGGAGACACTCACCTTAGGTGAGTACCTCCGAGAGTGGAGTGGCTTGTTGGAGATACCACTGAGACAAGCACGGGAATCCTTTTTGGCGTTGGGATACGAACTGCCTGGCGAAGCCTCGTCAAGTGGAGTCAAGGAAGGAGGAGTTGCTCCCCTTCCGGTTTGTGAGCAGGCGTCCAGCTCACAGGGTGGAGTTTCTCCCCCGACCATGGCGTCAGAGATTGACCACAGCTCAACAACGCCACGTAGCTCCACTATAGTGGCCTGGGAGGGCCAACCAGGCGATCTAGGGGACTATTGCACTGCCTCTACGAAGCCGGAGACCAGCTTCTCGTTCGAAGTCTCGAAGGCTCTAGCAGCTTCGCTCCGGCACGGACATAAACCCTACATCAGCGTCACTTCAGCTGGTTGGGCCAAATTAGAGGACGTCCTGAGATGGCCAAGAGTGCAGGCCCAGCACGCCACGGCAGGCGACCTCATGGAGGTCGTTCGGAGTAACGCAAAAGGCAGGTACGAGCTGGGCGATTGCCAAGGCCAGAAGTACATCAGGGCTCTGCAAGGACATTCTCGCTCTGATGTGGACTCCAATGAGGTGTTGGAGGAACTCACGGAGGAGATGCTCCCCAGAATGCTGTATCATGGCACATTCTGGTCCTTGTATGACTCCATACGCCAACGAGGCCTTCTGCCTCAGAACAAGATTTCCAAGGGCCGCGGCAAAGGCGGACGTGGCAGAGAGGGACGACAGCATGTTCACTTCGTCTCGGATCGGGACTATGGGAGACCTGGTGTTTCTGGATTCAGAGATAGCTCGTCGATGCTGGTAGCGGTCGATCCACGCAGAGCCATGCAGGTAGGGGTGCAATTTTTCCGTAGCAAGAACGGCGTCATTCTCACCCCTTCCGAAGTGCCCCCTTCTGTCATAGAGTACTACCAGAGCCTGAAATCAGGTACTAAGTACGGAGGCGACAACAGGCCGCTCTGATCGTGAGGACCCTCACCTAATGGTGGAGTCCCTCCCCACACTGATAATGCAGCTGCTCACGCAAAAATCTATGTTATGAGGCTGAAGGTCACTTCAATTTCATCACCAGACAGCAAGTATACCCCGAGGTCGCATGTGAAGCTCCGTGCGCAGTCGTGGGCCCGGATCTGCAAGTGAGTTGTCAGCCAAAAGTTTTCTGGAAGCTCTACTTGCCTTCTCGTACAGGCTCAACTCACCAGCTGTCTCGACTGTAGAAGCCATGCCTGAAACACCGAAGAAGAGTGGCAGCAGAGCGACCTCCCGAACCCCTCCTCCAGTGCGACGTCGGCCCCACCTATCCAGGTCGCCGCCAGCCAGTGACGCCATTCGGGAGTCCGACTCCGAAGACACAGCAGACCCTAAAGCAGCCCCTAAAGCAGCTGGGCCTAAGGGCCCGCCGCCTCCTATGCCTGTTAACCTGTCAGGAAGTGGATCTAGCACAGATCGGACACCTGGCCCAGGTAAGGCACCTGGAGTGCCAGTGAAAGGTGGAGTCCCGGGAGGAGTTTCTCCCCTGGGACCACCGCCAAAGGCTGTGACCTCAACGATCTCCCATCCAGGGACAGGAGAGCTTCATGTCACCAGCACAAGTCCGGCAGGAGTTGCTCCGCCATCTACAAATAGCAACAACGGGCTGGAAATGGCGCCTGGCCTGCCTTTACTGAGTGTTTCATTGCCTCACCGCCTCTACTATAACATAGAGCTAGTGGTTCGTACCGAGCCTTCACAGCGAGGCTAGACACTCTCGCGAGACAGCAGTGTGCAAAATGGACGTCGCCAATCAGTCAGCGATGCATTGCGAATCAGCCGGTTAACCACTTCATTAGTGCCAGAGTCTGCAGCTCGAGTCACTGAAGACACGTCCGATTCCGACTTCATTGCTTGCAGCCTTGAGGGGCGGAGCGTGTGCGAGTGCTGTGTTAAGGCACGGCTCGTCATGAAGTGACCGCGCAAGTAGCAAGCAAAGCAGCAGGTCGATCCCTCGCAAAGCGTGGACGTTAAGTTTCACCTCAGACAGTATCCTCCCGCTGCGTGTGAATGAAATGTTGTTTGTCAAGTTGCGGCAGCGTTAGCATGTTGGTTATCGTTACAAGCATGGTTAGTTGTTAGTTGTTTTTTTTAGGACTGCTGCTACGCATCCTGGTCATTATTGTTATCATCACGCTTCGTTCGGGATGATTACTGCCATCATTGTTGCCGCAAAACCCACGTCATGACGTACATGTCTTCATTAACGAGTTTTCACGGGGTTGAAAAATGCGAACCGATGAAGCTGACTATTGCGGACAGAAGGTTGGCATCAGGACGACGATTGTCATTTTTGCTGCTGTCGACATTACAGGCATTTCGTACAGTGATCTGCAGGCATCGCTGTTGCAGTTATGCTGGTATGGGTGAACAGAATGACCTGGTAGTAGGTAGGACCAGCATGATGGTCTTCTAATGAATGTAGTAGTGAAACTGTTGGACAAGCGGAGCTGCACACTCAAGGGGGCTGATGTTGCCTTAGTCTCATTGATTGCTCGTGCTAGTGTATCTTGACACATCGCTAGTCTCATGACATGAATGAATGTTGTGTATACCATGACAAGACTGATGTCATGTTGACCACTGCCGATGGTGGTGGTGATGATGGTGATGACACTGTTGACACTGACGTCTGTGATAAGATGGTGATGGTCATCACACTGCTTCTGATGATGATGGTGATGATGATGATGATGATGATGTTATTTTTGATGATGATCTTGCTTCTTGCTGCTTCTTGCTGCTACTGCTGCTACTGCTGCTGCTCATGGTCATGTGTAAGCTTCCTCTGCTCTTGCTCTCTATGAGAGGTGTGTTGCTCCAGGTGTTGGAGGCCAACAACAATATCCCAAACCCCGCAAGCTGCAACCCCGAAAATCCCACACCTCCCTAAACCCTAAACCTTAAACCCTAGACACAAAACCCTAAACCCTGAACCCTGAACCCTAAACCCCAAGCCCAAAACCCACCCTGTCCTAGGCAGCACCGCGTGGGAGAGGCGGCCGTACACACACTCCGCCAGGCGGGAAGATGTCTCGAGAGAGAGCCGGCTCTTCCTAATGTAGGGGCCTAAGGGTTTAGGGTTTAGGGTTTAGGGTAAATAATTACCTAAACTACGTTGGGGGTTCCTTAGTATAACTCTAGTATAATATATTCCCAAACCCTATTCTAATTACTTTGGCCCTTCCATTAGGGCTTCCTGCTTATTCGCTTTGGATGCTCACAGAGCGGCCATCGGAGACCCGTCCTCTTGGGATGGGCATTGCACCAGAACCCTTAAACAACAATTTGTCCCCCTCCCCGCTGCGGTGTGATGTACGGATTTGCGACTTGCAAGCTGTAACCGTCATGCTCGCCGCCGCAGTGGCTGGCTTGCTTTACTCAAATGTCTCCGCAGCTGCTTATTTGGGGTTTGGGGTTTGATCTTTAGGTTTTGGGTTTTGGCCTGCTTAGGTGATTGAAAGTATGAACGCAGATGACGATGGACGGCTCGCCGCGTCGTTTCGCATGGTCGGCTCGGACCTTGGTGGAGCGTTGTTGGGCGATGATACCTCTGGCTTTCAGATCAGCAAGAGGACCAAGGATGTCTTAAATCAGGTCATCAACGGTTTTTGCCTCCTGGTTTTAGCCACAGCTCGAGGCGTGAACGAGTTGCCATGCCTGGACGGCCCACCGGGCCCACTGTTCCTGGTCATCTATGGGGGCTCAGTTTGCCTGAAGTGGTGTGATGATGGATTCCAGGAAGTCTTTGCACCACAAGGGCTGTCGAAGAAGCAGGCCTCCGTATAAGACATGTGTGCAGTGAGGCTCGGGAGCGGGGGAAGTGGCCATGGTATGGTCACCTAGCCTCAGGCAACGAAACCGCCTCCCGAAGCCGGGCAGGTGAGCTGCATGTTTTTGGGCTCTTGGGTACCCCAAACTCTAAACCCCTGGGTTGTCCTTTGGGATCTTTTTTAATTTCCCTTACTCACTACTTTGAAGACAACCATACTAGTAAATAATTTTCAAAGGGCTGAAAGAACAGCTCAGACCCCTGAACCTTAGGGCCTGTTTTGATCTCCGGGCTGAAGAGGCTGGGGATTCAACCCGAAACTCCAAAACACGAGAAGCTCTTCGGATCCATCGCCAGGTCCAAGACAGCTGGCTGCTCGCGATCCGCCTCAAAGGCCTCGGGTTTAGAGGTTTGAGGGTTTAGGTTTTGGGGTTTATGGGGGTTTTTTGGGGGTTTATGGGGGTCTTCTAGGGGTTTTGGGCTTTAGAGTTTGGGGTTTTAGGGCTTCAGAGTTTCGAGTTTAGAGCTCAGACTTTTGGACCTTCTCGGTTTTTTTTCCGCGTCCCATTGTGCAATATCTGGCCAGGATCCTTCTTCTTAACCCCAAGCGTTATCCTGGCCTTTCAGTAGACCCTTTTTCCCTTTTTGTAGGCCTTGGTTCCTTATACAGTTATGCAATGGCACAAAGGGAGCCCTTTTTTTGCCTAGGTTACTGGGCATCCTAGTTATGCACTAAGCACTAAGCCACGCAAAGCCGAAAAGGCCCCCGCAGTGAAGATTTGCGGGTCTTCATGACAAGAACTCGGCCACGCGGGGCTCTGTCTTGGGGTCCCTTGGAAGCTGCAAGTCCCACTTGGCCTAGGAGGTCTTGACGGTAGGCCGCAAGAACCCACGAGCTGTTTTAGAACGCTACAGAACCCTGAATCCTTACCCCTCTAACCCTAAACCCTAAACCCCCGTTCACCAGCCGCTTCATTTGCTTCCTTACCAATACTATTCCTCAGGGGCCCTCCACCTCACGTGACCCCAACTCCTATACTAATTATGAAGGACTAACTCTAGACCCTGAAACCTAAACCCGTATTAGACACCCTCATTGACCCTTGAAGGAACCTTAAAGAAGCCGTCTTCTACTCACTCAGGTTCCTCCAGGCCCTTATATCCTTATTTTCCTTAGTTTGATTTTAGTAGCATATGACCCAAAACCCCTTTGCAATTGCTAAGGCCCCGAAACCGAAACCTCAACCCCTGAAAACCTGAAACCTTAACCCTGTATAAACCCTAGACCCTAAACCCCTAAACCCCTAAACCCCTAAACCCCTAAACCCTAAACCCTAAACCCTAAACCCCTAAACCCCTAAACCCCTAAACCCCTAAACCCTAAACCCTAAACCCTAAACCCCTAAACCCCTAAACCCCTAAACCCCTAAACCCCTAAACCCCTAAACCCCTAAACCCTAAATCTGCCCCGGGAGGCTTCATCTTCTTCGGCTCCGTGCAGGGGGTGACCTCCATGGTGGCGACCCGCATCGCCCCTCGGCTTCTTGAGGCATACTTGGAGGCCCTTTTGACTTAGTAAGTAGGGTTAGTAAGGTGGGTTATGGGGATTATAATAGGGTTTCTGGGGGATACTAAGTAGACTTACTAAGTCAAAAGGGCCTCCAAGTAGGGCCTCAGAGGGTTTAGGGTTTTAGGGCGTTACGGGCTTTTGGGCTTCGGATTTTGAGGGTTTTTTGGGGTTTGGGGCTTTAGGGTTTCGAGTTCAGAGCTTTCGGGTCTAGCGTTTTGGTTCTTTCGTGGTGAGAGGTTTCAGAGTTGGGAGTTTTAGGTTAGTTCAGTAGGGGATGTGACCCTGGTAGCGAACCTAGGGTTTGAGCTTCAGGGTCAAGGCCTTATGATTTATGATTTATGGGTTACGGTTCAGGGTTTGGGTGTAGCGGCTTTGAGTTACGACGACACGGCTTGAGGTTTAGTGTAGGGCAGCGTAGGGTTCAGGGGTCGGTATCCTACAAATGCCCTCAACTAAGGCATGTGTTTCATGTTGTGTGACGTAACGCCTGTACTTGAAGGCATACTCCTTGATCAACCCAATTCGTGTCATGCTCTTCCAGCCGCTTTTGCTCCACATGTCCTATTTTTTGTAAACCCCAAACTCTTAGGCAATTCGCGATTTTTTTTCAAGTCATCTTGAACCCTGAGCCGTTCGTCCTTCGAACATCGAGTTGAAACAGCTTCTAGCTAGAAAAGGCTGAAGAGTTGTGATATTCTTTTAGGGCTTAGGTTCCCGTATCATATTTCTGATATCATGTTGCGGGTTCGTTCGTGTCTTATGCTCTTTCGGAGCAAAAAATCTGCTGCTGAACTTTCAGAAGTCCGCAAACCCTGAATCCCAACTCTTGGCGCACAAACCTAACCTCGGCAGCCCCAAGCCCAAAACACTTCAAGCAGAAATCCTCAACCTGCATCCCCAAATCGCTAGGTTCTAGATAACCCAAAACGCTTCAACTCTAAATCCTAAACCTGTATCCCCAAATCCCTAGATGCTACAAACTTGCAGACCGGTAAATCCGAATCGCTTGAAACCTCGAACTCCAAGCAAGGAGACCGAGAAGAAAGAGAAGGTTCCGAACTACCGGAGGCCGTTTTAAGGGCTGTTCAAATTCTCACACAGCCCCTAAACCCCGAGACCCGAAGCTCGAAACCCTAGGGCGCTAGGTCGGCTTGGGATTTCAGGGTTTGAGGCGTAATATATGAGCCTGAAGAAGTAGAACTTGGTTTGGGGTATATTGTAGTATAGCTATAATGAGGAACCGTAAGGAATGATGTTTGTAGTTATCTAGGCTTCTATGGTAGGGTTTTCGGGGGTTTGAGGGATTAGCGTGCTGTGGTTTTGCAGGTTGTCTTCCTTTTCAGCCCCTGGAGTTCCGGTTTCTCATGTATTATAGGATCCTTAAGGGAGGGTGGTTCAAGGGGGGAGGGTATAAGGAATCCTCAGGGGACTGTAAGGGAACCTTAGGGAGTACTAGGGATACTGCAATTGTATCTAGAGCGTTTTGGTGGGACAGGTGTTGCAGCGCTTTTTTTTTTCCGCGTGGGCTGGATGGGTCGGGGTTGCCGCGCCAGGCTTCAGATCGTCATCTTTGACTGCGCCCAGCTGGATGGCATCGAGGCATCCTGCCCAAAACCCAACCTAAACCATATGGGTGGTTGTCAAAATTAGGGTCCCTTTTTGGGTACCCTAAATAGTAGGTGCCGTATTATAATAGGGACCCAAAAAAGGGACCCTAGTTTTGACAGCCGGCCAGGTAAACCTTAAGCCCTAAACCCGAAACCAAAGCAATCAATAAAAGACAGCTAGCTCCAAACCAAGAGTCCGAAGCCCCAAGCCTTAAAGCCTGCACCCGCCCCCCCCGAACTTGCCGCTAGCGACGGCAAGGGCCTCCTAGCATAATAGTTTAGTGGCGGTCATCGGGAGGAACTCGTCTTGGGCGCGGTCACGGGTGGTGGTAGTGACAGTGGTGGTGGCAGTGCCAGTGGTAGTAGTATTGGTACTGGCAGTGGAAGTCGTGGCGATAGTCGTAGAGTTGCTCGTCGTCGCCACCGGTGTCGTCGCCGCAGTAGTAGCCGTAGTAGGAGTGGTAAGAGTAGTAGCAGAGGAGGGTTGGGAAAAGGGCTGTTCCTGCACACGCGCCAGGTTTCTGCAGCGAAGTCCCTCACGAAGCTGTCACAGGTCTCTTGGCATGTCCTGACATGGCAGTGGCACGTCGCGATGTGATTCAAGCTTCGAGTGGGGTCTTTCGTATCTTCTGAGCCACATTTTGCCATCATGGTGCCAGATCAAACCCGCAACCTGCAACCTTTGAGCCCTAACGCCTAAGCCCATCATCAGAAGACTCCTGACCATGAAGAGCACGGAAAACACGTATTCGCACCTTGTGAGCACATGGGGGTTTCCCAAAATACGGGACCCTAATACAGCACCCGAAATAGTAGGATCCTGATTGCAAGGAACCCCAAAATGAGGTATCCCCCCTGATTTTCGGAAACCCAAAACCCTTATAGAGCCCTTTAAAGGAACCCTTATAGTACCCTTATAGTAACCCTTTAAAGGAACCTTCATAGTGCCTTATAGTAACCCTTTAAAGGAACCTTCATAGTGCCTTATAGTAACCCTCTAAAGGAACCCTAAGGTACATACCCCCCCAAGCCAAGGAGTCGAAGAGTGCTGGCGTTCAGATCATCTTCAGCGCCGTGGATGAAGGGGCCAAGTTGGGTTTAGGGCTCACTCCAGGGGCCGGAATTCGGAATGATTACCAGTACTTTTTTGGTTATAACCATAGTATAAATTCTTAAGGCCCCTACACGATATTAGGGTTTGAAACAGATTGGCGAGCGTGTCCCAGATATTCGCACATGCAACAAACCTTAGACCCGGCCCTACACCATTAGGCGGGGTTGAGAAGACTGTTGGTGTACCTGTCCGGGTGGCTGGTGGCAGTAGGTCATTAGGTTGCTCTCTGTGGTGGCGATGGTGGTGGTAGTGGCGGTGGTGGGGTGATGGCGGTGTTGTGATTTTGGGGGTTTGTTGGTGGTTATGTGGTGTTGCACTGCTGATGCTGGTCGTGGCAGTGATGGTGGTGCTGCTGCAGGCTGACACTGCAACGGGCAGATGATGGTAATCAGGGGGAGGGTGTTGACATTTACTGCGTCGATGTTGGTATTGAAGAATGTCGTGGTTTCAGTTTCATGTTGATGATGTTGTTAAGGAGGAGGACAAGAAGGAGGAGAGATTAGCTCCAAACTCCCAAACCGTAAACGCTTCAACGCATCCGGCGTGCTGAGTTATCAAGGTGCCATATGGGAGTTTCCGAAAATTAGGGGTACCTTATTTTGGGGTCACTATAACGCGGATCCTACTATTTAGGGTACTATATTAGGGTCCCCCATTTTTCGGAAACTCCCATATGTAACCCCATGACCCCCTGAGCCTTCCAAGAGCCTTCTCAAAGCCCGACCGCCATAGAGGAATAATGAGGAGTACGTCACTTAAAGTGAGGAAGTGTCCGAAGACCTACCCGAGCTCCTCGAGCCCAAACCCTGAAGCCTCAGAACGAGGTTCCGTGTCGAAGGACCTGGCTCAGGACTGCCATCTTCCGTCCCCGTGATGCGTAGGATGTTACTGCTGTTATTACCTGTTTAGGATTCGTGTTCACATCATCATTAGCATGGGTATTGGTTCTACTGCGAGTGCTGCTGTCGTGTTTAATGCTGTCAAAATAGATGCTTGCGAGGTGGATGGGCGTCGTTCAGGCTTTTAATTCTCAGCCTTTGTTTGCTTCACGGTTGGTTTAGGTTCGACGTCTAAACAAATTGAGGACCTGAGGGCGCTCTTCAGGCCTTTTTCACGTCCCGACAACTTCTGCGGTTCTTCCCCGGATTCCGGGTATTGCCAGCACCCAGCCCCCAAGGCCATTTTTACACGGGAGTTGCCTTTCCAGTTGTGGATTCATTTGACGAGCATTCGCTTCCATATTTACGGTATTCTGCTGCATGCTTTCCGCCTTCCGGCACTTCCCGGCGCCGTCTCGTCACCACAGCACGCAGTCGATGATTATGGATGATTATGACATTTGTACGATTGTGCAGGTTTCCTTGTTTCTTTCTCAGGTGCTAGGGCTTGGGGATTCAAGCTTTTTCAGACTCCTTAGAAGCTTTGCTGCTTCCCACAGAAGCTTCAAGCCCCTAAAATGTTATAGTATGATACGACCTTGTGGCCCCGGCGACTACATTAAGCCCTAAGCAAGACTTCCACGTAAATCCTAAACCCCTAAACCCGGAAAGCCCCAGCAACTGTAAAAGCCCTCGCTCTGGATGCGGCCGGCCTCGGTTGAAGGAGATGAAGAGTCGAGGCGTCATCCACGGGGACCACGCCGCCCGATGGAGAAAGATAGGGCCTTAATAAATAGAATAGGGTTCCTTCAAAGGTATCCTTTTTTGAGGGCTACTCTCAGGGATCTATAAGGGTACTATAATGTAGGGGCCTTAATAATTAGAATAGGGTTTTGAGGCCAATTGTACTATATTTGTAATAAGGAACCCGCAAAATAGTTGGCCCTTGTAGTTCTATGAGGGTTTCGTGGGGGCTCTGTATCGTTTTGCAGAAAGCTCGGTCGGATTTCTAGTGCCTTATGTCATTGCCTTGTGCCAGTTTCGCAAAGGTATAAACTAGCCATGGCAGCATTGCTGCTGGTCGCGACAAAAGGTAGAACAAGCAATGGCTGCAAGTTATTGCCAGGCTTTCTATGATTCAATAGGTCTCGTGGTCCTCATGACTCATAACTTACACAACAGTCCAACAGGACCGTCAGCGCAGAAGCAATAGTACTGGGAGTATTGTGGGTAAAACTAAAGGGATAGCAGCAAGAGGCAGCAGGAGTGGGGGTTTTTGTTAAGCGATTGTTTCTATGTTACCATGCTAAGGAAACCAGAGTATTTTCTATAGATCCCCATTATGGTAACTTTAAATATAATCCTTTAACAAGAACCCAGAAGAGGGAGGGGGGCCAAGGTTTTGTGGCTTTTTTGCCCTTTTGCCCTTACTCTGAGGACCTCTTCCCAGACATGGAAGCGGCCATCTTCTACGTGGAGGACCCGGCTTCAACGGGAATTCCAGACGCCAGCTGGTAACATAGGGGCCCTAATATGTACCTCTACTATTCTCGGGGGTTCCTGAATATAATCCTGGTATTATGGGCCCCTAACCCCTGTTCTACTTATTAAGGCCCTACATTAAAGTTTTTGAGCTCTACCTCATGGTCCTCGACGTGGCACATAGGAAGTCAAACTGTGCAGGAGTCTGCGTCGTAGTCGTTACCGTCGTCGTCGCATGACTGCGACAATAACACCCACCCCTACCCCTACCCGGACCCCTACCCCTACCACTACGCCTACCCCTCCCCGATTCCGGCCCCTGCTCACAACCCTCAGCCGTGTAGTCACGCCGTGAGTTCGGAGGACTTGGCCTTGCAATACGCAAAGGCCATGGAAGGCCGAGTTGTAGCCGCCTTCGGGATGAAATATCGTTTCGGAGATCCGGAGATCACAGACGGAGCTTCTAAACTCTCTGGTTGCGGCTTCAGGGTGTCGTGGGTAGGGTTTCGAGCCGTTTCCCTTGCACAGGGGGCTTGGGGTTGGGGAATGCTATAGCTGCATTCAAGCAGACAACTTACACGGAGCCTCCCGGATGACCCCCGGTGCAATCCCTTTCACTCATGGGCCGGAGAAGTGGGAGTTTCCGAAAATAGGGGACCCTAATACAGTACCCTGAATAGTAGGATCGCTATTATAAGGACCCCAAAACAAGGGTACCCGCTAATTTTCGGAAACCCTAAACCCTTATAGAGCCTTAAAGGAACCCTTATAGTACTCATATAGTTTAAAGGAACCCTAAGGTACCCCCTGATTCTCGGAAACTCGCAAGTGATGCCTCGGACATGAGAGGCCTCTTCTCTTCTCTGCATCCGGGTATTCAGTACCACCAGGCGGTTCGCAAGGAGCAGGTGCCCTGGCGGTTCAGGGTTTAGGGCTGCAGGGATTGTAGAGATTGTCAAGGGTTTGGGTGCCAAAAAGTTTTGAGCGAAACGTTTTGACCGAAACGGTTTGACCGGCACGTTTTGAGCAGGTTTCTTTTTTGGAACCACATTTTGAATTTGGGCTTGGGCTTGGGGCCGGGAACTGGGGGCTGACGGCTGGGGGCTGTGCTGGGCTGGCCGGTCTACGACCTAACTTAAACCCTAAACCCTTTTTGTAGTGTTTTTGTTTTCCTCGTTGTGCAACACATGAGAACAGTTAGCCTATTTTCGTGACTTCCCATGACAGAAATGAAAGCCCGATTTAATAGAAATGAGATCACGAAGTGAGCTGTGGCGTTTGGGGGTGGCTTGGTTAGGTCTTTGACACCCCGGCTCCGACGTAGGAGTGCCCGAGTGCGAGATTCGGTGCACGAGTGTTGTTATTGCTGGACGCAGGCTTCCGAATTTCCGGTGCTGTGTGGTGGGTCCTTATCTTACCTCATACTCGTTCTGAACATCGCTGTTGCTTTGCAGCCTTGCTGACTTTGTGCCCGAGCTGCGCTTTCTTTCTTCAAGCCGCAGGGCGGGGGTCGGCGGGGCGGGGCGGGCTGTTCGGGAGGGCGGGGCGCGGCCGGGACCTCGGAGTGCATCCCGAGCCTCCCCCCGCTTTGCTTCAGGTCTGGACTTCTTTATTCTGGTCGGGCACAAGTTTGTCGAGGCTTCAGGGGTTGCAAGTGGGTGGGGGCTCCGAGGCAGCGAGGTCGGAGTGTGCGAGGCGGTGACCGGGAGGTGTGTTGGTTTTCCGAGGCAGCCAGGTTTAGAGTGCAGGCGCCCAGGGTCTCTGCTGAGGGTTTTGGGTTTTTCGTTCGGGTGTTTTAGGTCCCGACTCCTTTTGGGCACCCTAGGCCGCCTTTGCGTCCTCTCGTTTTCGGTCTACCTTGCCCAGACCTTCACCTTGGCCAATTGGTTCTGGAACATAAGAGGCATTAAGGGTAATATCCAAATCACTGAAGCCCCTATGATGGTCAGGCTCATTGGCTGGATGTGCAACTCACAAGAATGTCACAGTTTGGCTGGTCAGACCAGGGATGGGAGAAAGACGAGGTTTCGACAGTCCTTGGAAAACTTTGGCAAGATCATCGAAGTCCACAGCCATCCAGGCATCCAGTCTGCAATGCTCTTCAGTAGAGCTCAGGGGGTTGAGGCTTTGGGGTGTTAGGGTTCAAGGGTTCAGGGCCTCTTGTTCCCGCTTGTTGTTTAAACACTGTGCCATTCCAGGAGTGCTGTCTTTGCAGAAGCAGGCCATCGACTGCAACACCTTAGTGGAAGCTCTGGAACATGCAGGTGAGCTATGGGTGGCCTTTTGCTCTGTGAACATGAAGGCTGTTACCTGGGCCTCGGGTGCTTTGGTCACCTTGAACAATCAACTTGACAAACTCCCAGCAATCACAGGTGCCTTGAATGTGAGGCTGCCAGATGGAAGGCAGTTGCAAGCTGCAGTTCCCAGAGGCATCCTCGACTTTGGGTTCTATGTTTCCAGTGACAAGATAACATTGTTCACGTCCACCGGAGATGGTTGGAGCAAAGGCAGCATTTTTCTATGCTAGGGTACACCGATTATGGCTCCCTGAAGATAGATGGCCCAATCTGCCTTCCAGGCTCTGAAATGAAGAGAATCATCTTGTACCCTCGCCTGGTCCACTTTCTCAAGAACCTCTGCAAGGTTTCCTGGGACAAGGTGCCCGGCAGCATAAACGACTGCAAGAAAAAGGTTGGAGACCTACAAGCAGGGACCTTGGGGGCTTGGGGGTCGAAGGCAGGTGCACTGGCACTGGTGACCCGAAAGAGTGGGTCAACGACTTTGTGGCCTTCTTCAACTCCAAGAGGCAGTTGTCAACCCACCTGAGCAGGATCGACATCTCCATACCCAGCTTCCTTCAAAAGGTCAGGGCCAAGATCGATGCTTTGGAAGCCATATTAGTGGGTCGGAATGAGTTCTGATGCCTGCACAGCTGAGGGCTCACCAGGAAGTTGTGCAAGCATTTGTTTACAACCTTCGAGCAACAGGAGCCGAGTGTGTACGCATGAAAATTTGCAAGCTTTGCCAACCCTTCAAACACGACATCCCAAAGCATAAGCCGAAAACCAACACTTTAGACCTTCAACTCTTCACCCGAAGCTCCCAACAAGAAATTTCGGCAGGAGCCGAAGAGCCCGACTATGCCTGCTACCGGGGACCAGACTCCTACAGAGAGCCCAGGAACCCCTTTCCACACCTGGACAGGTGACGAAATCCTTGTGTGGAATCTCTTGGACCCACCCCGAATTGTCTGGACCAAATTCGGAAGGGGCAGTGCATCATGGTGGGTTCGGTCCAAAAGAGGTTCAATGCTGCAGAAGTGCCAAAGTGCACAGAGAGCTTGTCAAGAGTATTTGAAGAGGGCTCAAGCCAGAGCCCACATAGATGATATCTGAGCAACACAAGTGCAAGCTCCTTGCAGGAGGTAGCAGCTCAAGACAAGTGCAAGCTCCTTACAGGAGGAGGCAGCAGCTGAAGCCTTGCAGGAATGTAGCTTATCCACTTAAGGCTTAGGACTTAAGGCTTGGGGTTGAGGCTTTACAAGTGCTCAGGGCTGCTTAAGATTTAGGGCTGCTCAGGGCTTCGGGCTGCTCAGGGGCTTCTGACTGCTTACGGCTGCTCAGGGCTTGGGGCTGCGCAGGGCTTCTTCGGGTTTGAGGCTGCTTAGTGTTTAAGGCGGCTTAGGGGCTTGTAAAGGCTTCTGAGGGCAGAGGGCACTTAGGGTTGCTGGGGCTTCAGAGGGCTGCTGAGACTTGTTTGGAGCTTAAGGCTTTTTCGGGGTTTAGAGCTTAGGGTTTTAGGGACGGTTTAGGGTTCAGGGATTTAGGGTTTAGGGTTTATAGAAATTGTTAAGGGTTTGGGTGCCGAAAACGTTTTGAGCGAAAGTTTTGAGCGAACGTCTTGAGCGAAACGTTTTGACCAGGTTTTCTGATTGAGACCTGATCTTGGAAAACTTGATGCCGGTCTAAAGCCTAACCTAAACCTAAACGCTTTTTGTATTTCTTCGTCCGAAAGATTTTGAGGGAAAGTTTTGAATAGGTTCTCTGATTGAAACCTGATTTTGGAAGATTTGGGGCTGGGGCTTGGGCTGAGTGGGTCTGGCAAAAGCCAAAGCTAAGATATTGGAGAGGGTTTGGAAAAGGCCAAAAAGCTAAGGTCTGGAAAAGGCCAAAAAGCCAAATTTGGGGGCTTGGAGGGGGTTTGGAAAAGGCCTAAAAGCCAAATTTGGTGGCTCGGGGGGGGGTCTGGAAAGGCCAAAAAGCCGAACTTGGTGGCTGGGAGGGTTTTGTAGAAATTGGTTTATCGATATTGGAGGGGGTTTGGAAAAGGCCAAAAAGCCAATTTTGGAAGCTTGGACGGGTTTGGAAAAGGCAACAACAATTGCCAAAATTGGGGGCTTGGAGGGGTTTAGGCTTAAAAGCCACATTTGGAACCTTGGAGGGGGTCTGGAAAAGACCAAAACGCCAAATTTGTGGGATGTGAGGGTTCTGTAGACATTGGTTTATCGATACATTTGCTTTGTTGTTGAGCCCAACAGCTGGGCCGCGGCTGGGGTTACAAACAAGGACAAGCAATTTCAATTTATTTTTGTCTTGAGGGTTTGGGGTTCAGGGTTTCGGGTTTTAGGGTTTAGGGTTTACGGTTCAGAGTTTAGGGTTTAGGTTTTAGGGGTTTAGGGTTCAGGGTTTAGGGTTTAGGGTGCCAAGGTTTGCGTTTTTGTCCGGGGGTTATACGGTTGATGGTATAAATCCTGCATTACCTTAATGGCCTTAAACTCTGGGAATTATGGTATTTTCTTTACTATGGGTAATGCAGGATGTATATCATCAACCGTAGTTCGTATATTCAATGCATGTATATACTGAGGCACGCACACACATACGCGCATGTATGTGCGTATTTACATGCACTCCTGTCTTTAGTCTTTGTGCCTGGAACGTCTATGCATGAATGTCCAATTGAGCATGGTCCAGGATCTGAATCGGATGAGCTCCGGCAGCGGAACAAGGGCTTTTATTGTTTGCCAGGTGACCTTCGAGCCCTTCGGCGGCATCCTGGTGACTGACGATGCCAGGTGCCTTGAGTCTGGCGACCACAGTGTATCCTCCGTGCCTGACACTTAATATAGGGGCCAAAGCAATTACCAATAACATTTTGGGGGTTCCTTATTCTACCCCTATATCAGGGTTTGCGAGAACTTGGCATGCTGAAGTTTCCACGAAGCATCATAGAGCCTCAGTCTTGTAATTTGTGTAAGACGGTTGAAGAACTCGGAAGTGTCATGCTAACCTTCCGTTTTGGTGCGGAACGCTATGCCCTGCACCCTGAACCCTTAAAGCTTAGAGCCAATTGCCACGGAAACCCTTCTGATAATGGTTTACTATGATCGGCATCGCTAGCAAAGCCCGAACCGACAATAAGTGCAGCCTTAAGTTACTGAAGCGAAAAACCTGAACCCCAAGAGCCCTAAACCCTAAACCCCTGAAACCCATTCCCTAGAAACCAAAACCCTGAAGCCCGGCGTTTCGGGTTGCAAGGGGGTTAGGGGAGTCGGGATTTCGGATTTTAGACTTTACTTAGAGGAACATGGGACTTAGTAAATAGGGTTTAGGGTTATCACTAGATATAACTATAGTAGCTTGCTTATAACCCTGCTTACTAAGTGCCTTGATCCCTTAAGTAGGGCTTCAGGGAAGAAGGTTCAGGTTCCGCATCCATCATAGACCCCTTCAGCCCACTCTACATAGAATAGAGGAATAGAGTCTATAAGTCATAGTCATAAACTCTATTCCATGTAGCGTGGGTTGAAGGGACCCCTTTTCCCTTATCGACTCTAAATGGAGGAAAGGATTGCCTCCCTTTGCGCAGGTTGGGCTGCCCCTGGCGCTTCTGCACCAAGGTCGCTGTGCTTACGGAGATTCCAGCTGGTTTGCGAGGGGTTTCGTAAGTGTGCCGCAAAGGTCATGAGGGGTTTCGACGTTGAGGGGGTTTTGGGTTTGGCCCGGGGCCTAGGGTTTGGGCTTTGAAGATGATACTCTCAAATCAAGGGTAGCTTATCCCTAAACCCCTTTCGCAAAACCTGTAGTAAACCTTATGTTGTGGCAGCCCCTATAGTAGCCTGCATCACAACTTCCCTCATGGAATTTCGGGCGACGCGCATTTCTGGAGCGGATATGGAGTCCATGATGAGACGCCCTAGACTCGATGCGAAGGACGCGACGCCTTTGCCCCAATCCGCAAAAGCCCAACAGCCCGAACCCCTAACCCTAACCCCTAAACCCCGAACCGCAACCCCTATCCCGCCTATCCCGGAACCATGGCTCTCAGCCGTAAGGTCGACATCAAGAAGCACAGCACGCTGCTCTGGTCGTCGCATGGCGGCCTCAGGTCTTGGAACGGTTCGGTGTTTTGGGGTTTATGATATAAATAAGCCTGAATGAATGATTAGAAATACGGCGCTTTAGTATATGCGCAATTTAGTATAAGGAGTACTTGCCAATATTATTCCTCAGGGTCGATTAGTGTAGGTATACTATGCTCCACTCCAAAATCCTTCTCTAAACAATAACATATATGTATACACACATACACATATGTATACATTGTGTGTGTGTGTATTTATATATGTGCGGATATACAGGTCGTAACTTCATATATATATATATATATATACATATACATATATATATATATATATATATATAAATTATAGATAGACAGATGGGTAAGCAAGAGCCCTGCTTTGGTCAATGCTCCTGGGCTTGGTTTGGTGCCCGACACCTCTATGTTTCAAGTTTAGGGTTCAGGATTCAGGGGAGACACACGCAGTTCATGTACAATATTGTGTTCCGAGCAGAGAGTACAGCAGCAGTATGAGAAAGTGGTCATAAAGCATAGACGTGTTTTCCAAATTAAAACAAGAAATACAATATGCATATACATAAATATACACACGCACAGAATCACACATACACATCTGTGTGTAATGTCAAGTAACATGATAAGCAACAACATGGTACTAGTACTAGCAACGTGTGTAGCAGTACATTATGGCCATCGTGCTGGGATCGATCACTCCGCAGATCGTTTTCTGTTTTCGATCTCTCCCTTACCTTCCCCACCCACCACCCGATTCCCGCCCCCTGGCCCCCTTCTATTCCCCTGCAACCTACCTTTTATAGTCCATTAATGCTTGGAACCTTCTCCCCTCCCTCCCCCCTCCTACTGTTTCAAAAGGGACATCGACATGTTTCTCGTGAAAAGGAAATCCTCCTTGCAACGATGCAAGGTCAAAGGACAAGCACGATGTGCTCTACCTGATCCACACCGGTTCTGTAGGCCTGTGCTTGATTCAGAGTTTAGGGCAGGTTTCAGGTTTAAGGTGTAACCCCAAACCCTATTTCAGGAGGCAGGCTGTTGGGATTGGTAGCTCAAAATGGGGGTTGATCCATATCAGCAAATTGAATGCCTTCACAAGTGTGTTTAACACACCTTTACAACAGTTCAGAACCCCCAATGCCGCGTTTGTTTGAGCGTAGCTCCCGGTTGAATATGGGAGTTTCCGAAAACTAGGGGCACCTTATTTGAGGGTCCTCATAATAAGGATCCCATTTTAGGATACCTTATTAGGGTCCCCTATTTTCGGAAACTCCCATACTAGTTCGCTGAGGTTTACGGCGGAGCGGCTTCCCTCAGGCCCAATGGCTGAAACGCATCCCCTGGAATAATCCTGAAAGAATTGTTCAAAGAACCCTCGCTCCCACCCAAATCCTGTTTCTATAGGCTTCCTTAAAGGGCTCCTTTAAAGGGGGGCTTAGGGGCTTGGGGGCTTGGGGGCTTCGGGGTTAGGAGCTTTGGGTTTAGGGGCTTAGGGCTTAGGAGCTTAGGGTCTTACTTCCCCCGTTTAAGGGCTCCCTTAAGGGATCTATCGGGTTCCTTACAGGGATCTATAGAGTTTATAGGGTTTAGGGTCTACTTAGAGGATCGGGGGACTTAGTAAGTAGGGTGACAAGTATTTCTGAAAAATCACCCCAACTCAGGTACTTTTGACCGTGCTTACTAAGTCCCTTGATCCTCCAAGTACTTCCGAAACCCAGACCCTAAACCCCAAACAGGTCCCAAACCCTAACCCTAAACCCTAAACCCTGAACCCTGAACCACACCCCGAACCCGAACCCGAAACCCTGAACCTTAAACCCTAAACCCTCAACCCAAACACTAAACCGGCACTCTAAACCCAGAATCCGAAGGCATCTTCGAGTCTATCCCCGAAGACCGGCGGCACTGGAAGTCGCCGGTGGCGGCGGCTCGGCTCATTCGACGAGCCCCTTTAAGGGCTCCCTTTTCGGGTTTCCAAGAAAGGAGCCTTCAAAGGAGCCCTGAAAGGAGCCCTTAAAGGAAGCCTCAAAGGATCCCTGAAAGGAGCCCTTAAAGCCTTTTAAAGGAACCCTTGGGAGTTACTACTCCCTTTTATCGGCGCCTTGAGGGATTCCTTCAGGGCTCCTGTTTCAGGGTTCCTTGTACGGGTTACTGTAAGGCTGCTCACGTTACGTGGTACTGTCAGGGCTGTTTTGAGGGTTGTTATGGGGGTTCGAGTCAGGGCTACGATAGGGGTTGAGGAGTCCTGGGCTGGCCTTGTCTCCCTGTTGAGTTTTGAGTTTAGGGCTGCTGCATGCCTACGGGTTTGAAGGATTTTGTGTTGTCAGGGTGTGAACAGGTTTTCGTTTACAAGTGAATGTATCTGTGGTTACCTTAGATCCTCCAGGTAGTGCTGTTGCACAGGGAAAGGCGAAGTAGTAACAGTGGCCGCCCCGCCAACGGCACACCCCAAACCTTTATAGCGAAAAATCGAAACCCTTAAAGCCAAAAGCGTAAGCCCTTGCCGCCAGAAACACTTCGAAGTCATCGAACAGGTCAAGCAACAGAAAGCAAATTACCAACCAACAGCAACCCGTAACCCTCAGGCCCCCCCAAGAAGTTGAACCCATAACAGCACAAAGAAACAAACCCTAAAACCTAAACCCTGCCCCGAAGGTCTATGGCCACGGGCAGTTTCTGAACCTCGCGACTTGGGCAGCCTGAGTGTAGTGTGCCGGGGCGCATGATGCTATAAAAGGTTCATGTGAGGGTTCTGTCGGATTTACAGTGGCTTTCAGAGGGGTTTTCCATACGTGTTGTTTTAGAGTGCCTCAGGCTGTCTTAACAGCGTGAAGCCCAAGCGCACCTCTTAAGCCAAAGCCCACCCCAGGAGATGTTGGCTGGCATCTTGGCTGATCTGTCCGAAATGGAAGGAAAGCAACATGGGAGTTTCCGAAAATAGGGGACCCTAAAATAGTACCCTAAATAGTAGGATCCTTATTATAAGGACCCCAAAGTACGGTACCCCCCCAAGTTTTCGGAAACTCCCAAATGGTCCCACACGAATAAGCGTCATTAGCTGATCGGCGGCATTGCCGGCTTTGGTTTGTAAGATCGCCAAGGTCGAGCTGCTCTTAACCATGTCTGTGCATAGTATATGCTATACATTGGTTTAGGGTTTAGGGTTTAGCGCTTAGCGCTATATATTGTCTTTGATACGTGATATGTTATAACATGATATGCCGCCGGTGCATGAGCTCAGGCAAAGGGCCAGATAGTCCATCTTTGTGCACCAGGAGTGTCACTTCGCCCCCACCCTAGAGCCCACCACCCCAATGCCCGTTCTGACAGTCGTTTCTACTGAGTGCTGTCATTTGAGTCTTCCTCCGAAATCGTATTTTAGATATTGTACATTATATGTTCTGTACGATTTGCTACGCACATCGTATATTCTACATATTACCTACTATACCTGGCTTATTCCATGACTAGTGTTGCTCTTCGTATTGCTGTGGCAATCACTGCGATGGAAGGCAAGGAGGAAGAGTAGGAGCCTGATGAGTAAAACGAGGGCTTAGCGCCGTGATTTAGTATCGGCTCGTGCATAATTTCAACTCTGTTTCTCAGGCCACTCTTTCGTAAGATACCACTCTCGACCCCACTCTGACTATTGGGTTTTTGGGCTTGTCAGAAGATGATTCAGAAGGTCATCTCGAAGTCGCAAAACCGTCGATCAACCTCAAGGCCCCAGGCGTCGCGGAGACCCCAAACCCTCAAGCACCGCGCTAGTAAACCTGTAGTATAGTATATGTAGCTTTGCTTTCGATAGACTTTGCAGAAGACCCTTTCAGCAGCCCGTACAGAGACAATATGTACTGGTCCCTAAACCCTTCGTAAAGACAGTAGAGACCTGTTTTGGTGACCCTAGAAACCCCAAGCCCTTATTAAAGAAAGTAGAGACCTTTTCTTTGGTAACGGTTCTTCGGAAGCTGTCTTCCGAAGTTTCGGTGTTGACGCTATCTGAGGGGGATTTGCATCCCCTTTCAGAGCAGGAACCAGTCACCTTGTCCCTGGTGTTGCTCTCTTCCTCCTCCTGCTCCGGAAGGAGCAGACCAGTCCAATCCTAAAGGAAAGGGCAAGGGTCGTGGGAGGGATGGAAAGGAAGAGGGTACCGTCAATCGCTGTAAAGCATTGATGGACGGGATGTCGGCAGGAAGGCTTTTAGCCGTGCTTCGGCACGGGTCGGCTCTGTTGGCCGAAAAGTCTCCGGCGTTTCTGAACGACCTTGTGGCCGGACTAACGTCAGGTGAGGTAAAGTCCGTGGACGCATCTCAACTCTGCCGACCGGCGAAGAAGGACCAGGCTCCGAAGCCCGGTCACCGAACTCGCCGTGAAGAGGCAAGTTTCTTGGCAGAGCAGATTGGCCGCCGGAAAGCGGCTTGCTCAGAAGACGCCAAGGTACAAGCCGGTGTGCCAGAAGGTTGCAAGACATCGCAGAAAAATCATAACTCAATAGCACATAAACTCATTGAAAAATGTCTTTCAATAGCATGTAGGAGCACGGTAATGCAATGGGTATTGGCACCAAAAATTAACGTATCGTCTGCATACAGAATCTCTGCGAAGTGAATTCCACCAATTGGTTCTTGTTGACGCTTTGTACATAACTCAACTTTGATATCACTAAAGAGCGCACCCATAAGCAGAACAAAAAAGTAAGGGCTTAACGGGCATCCTTGTCTGATTCCTGCCGACTGAATCCTCCAGTCAGATTCCACGTCGCCTATCTTGACCTTGAATTGGGGATTCGCGTAGAAACTGCCTATCAGGCCAATGATCTTCTCCGGAACCTTCAGTCTGTGCAGTGTTCGAAATACTATGGGCTTACACTCAATTACGACAAATGCATCAAAATCACCGCCAATCAACGTATATCATCAGTTAGATTCTCCCCTACTGGGCCAGCTGCAGGCCAACTCGTCCCAAGAAAACGTGCCGCGGCTTATCTCGGCAGCTTACTAACCGATTCATTTGACAATAAAGCGGAAATCTCCAACAGATTAAACCCTCACTAGAGACCTTTTCTTTGGTATCCCCCTGCATAGAAACCCCGGACGTGGAGCCTCGAGGTCAAACCCCGAAGAGCCCCTAAAACCTTATAAACCCTAAAACCCTAAACCCTGAAACCCTAAACCCTAAAACCCTAAAACGTGAGAACCCTAAAACCCTAGAGCCCCATAAACCCTAGAGCCCTAGCCTAGAACACTACAACCCTAAAACCCTAGAAACCCTAGAACCCTAGAAACCCTAGAACCCTAAAAAGAGGCTGCTGCGTTTCAAAAGGCAGAACCCAGACCTTCCAAACTCCCTTAATTAAGGAATATACCTTAAATTATAATAGGATCCCTAATAAGAATTAAGGTCTATTCCTTAATTAAGGAATATACCTTAAATTATATTAGGGATCCCTAATAAGAATTAAGGTCTATTCCTTAGTTAAGGGAGTTTTGGAATGGGAAGCTCTGGAGCCCTGAGGTCGAACCCCGAAGGGACACGCCGTGTGCATCGAGAGCGGGCAGGTCATCGCCTGGGCCCGGGGCCTCGGTCCTCGGTGTTTTTTGAGATTTTGAGGGTGTGGGGTTTTAGGGTTAGGGTTTAGGGTTTAGGGTTTAGGGCATTTTGGGTTCAGGGCCTTTGGGGTTCAGATTTTGAGGGTTTGGGGGCATCTTGCTTGGAGGCCCTTTTGACTTAGTAAGTAGGGTTCGTAAGGTGGGTTATGGGGATTATAATAGGGTTTCTGGGGGATACTAAGTAGACTTACTAAGTCAAAAGGGCCTCCAAGTGGGGTTCATGGCATTTTGGGTTCAGGGTTTTAGGGTTTAGGGTTGAGGGTTTGGGGGTTTGGGGGTTTGGGGTTTAGGGCTTGGGGTTTGGGGTTTGAGGGTTAGGGTTTAGGGTTTAGGGTTTGGGTTCACGGCATTTTGGGTTCAGGGCGTTTGGGGTTCGGGGTTCGGGGTTTTGGGGTTCAGGGCTTGGGGTTTGAGGTTTAGGGCATTTTGGCTTCAGGGTTGGGGGGTTAGGATTTGGGGTTTTGGGGCTTTGGGTGTAGGGCATTTTGGGTTTGAGGTTTGGGGTTCAGGGCTGGGGGTTTAGGGTTTAGGGTTTGGGGTTTGGGGTTCAGGGTTCAGGGTTTAGAGGTTAGGGTTTGGGGGTTAGGGTTTGAGGGTTGGGCTTTGAGGTTTAGGGTTTGGAGTTTAGGGTTCAGAGTTTGGTTTTCATGTCATTTTACATGCAGTTGGCTGGGGAAGAACCCATGAGTCTCGTGACGTCATGCCGGTTGGTTTCTCCGCGGTACATGCCCTTAGCGCCTCAAACACTACACCGTTGAGAAGAAGACCTACCGCCACGCCCTGCAGCCCCGTGTCGAGCCCCACCATGCCTCAACACCCAAACTGACAAACTCTGACAGCAATGTGAATTTCTCTCAAAGACCCTCTCATTACTACACAAACTCGGGAATGTCAAATCGTCCCTCCCCGCCAGGACCGCGACCAGTGGCGGCGCATGTCGCGGCACGAGCCTGTCGCGTGGACTTGCAGTAGGTTTACATGTTTAGTGCACTTCGGGGGCCTTAAACCCTAAACCAAGAACCTTTGTACGGTTTTGGCCTGAGCCTCTGGAGGTCTCCACTTAAACCCGGACTAGAAGTCGGGCTACAAAGCCGGTTTGAACAAGGGGTACTATCAGGAGTTACTAGAAAGTCCATTACAAGGGGTTGCGACACGACATAAAGATGCTCCGCAGAACCTCCTGGGCTTCCAGGACTCACGATGACTTTGACTTGCGGAGTGACTTTCTGGGCTCAGGGCACTGGGAGGTGAGATCGTAGAATGTAGGCTAGAAAGAGACCGTGTGCATTCCGAAACCTTACATCCTCAAGCCGAAACTCTGAAATCCTGAAACCTATAGCTTGGGCCTTGCGCTAAACCTCAAACGTGAACCACCGCTCAAAGCCTGAAGCCCCAAACTTCAAACCCTCTACACCGACGGTCTCAGGCCATCCTTATAAAACGCCACGAGGCCATCCTTACAAAACGCCACGCACTTCGATGAAACCCTTTGAACCCCAGTAAGACCATATTCTTCCCCCCTGCACTTCTTTGGAGCTGCGGAGGTCATGGCAGCCAAGCTCCTCGAGGCCGCAATGGCACAGAGGCAAAACGAGTCAGGCCATCTTGCTGTGGGTATCTTTATATCAGCCCCATTTTTTTTGAGTGGCTTAGTTGCCGGATTCAGGAACTCAGGCAAGCGCTAAGGAGGCTAAGGAGGTTTTCTGCTAAGTGCTTCGGCCGGTGGCATGCAATCCTTACTTCCAGATTCATGTTGTGCTGTTAGATGACGACTTTTTTGTCTAAAGGTCCAAGTAGAGGTGTTCAGCTCGTTGTTTAGCTTCGATGCATTTCAATATCATCTGTGTGATCGGGCCTCCTCCTCCTCGTCACAACCATCGCCACTGCCATCGCCATCGCCATCAGAATCAGCATCGCCATCGTCATTGTGATTGTCATCGTCGTCATCATCAATATACCCATCCTAACTTTTCGCTCTTCCTCGCTGTTCCGCCTTGAGCCCTAGAACTCTTCAAGAGGAGCACGCGACTTAGCCGCCAAAGTAACCCAACTACGTACAGTGAGTCCTACTGAAAAGCTATTTACTATACCCTGATGCTTTAAGATTTTCACTGCAAGGGTTTTCAGGTTTGCCAAAACTTGCAGCTCGGAAGCTTTGCAGGCTTTAAGCGCAGGCTTTGAGCAAGCCCAGCGAGCATTTACAACAAGCCATTTGACGAGCGAGAGAAAACTGTAAGCCCGAAAGCCCGATCCCAAAACCCCAGCCCATAAACCTGAAAAGCCCATCCCAAATCGCTGACTCCTGGAAAAAAATCGCCAAGACCCAAACAGCCCCAACATGAGAACCATAAATTCCGAAACGGGCTTGGGTTTAGGGTTCAGACTCCTAAATCCCCAAAGCGCGCTTAAGCCGCCTTCTGGCAAAATGGCTGGTGATAAGCCTGCCTTATTCAGGCAGTGCGGAGAACGAGGAGCTTTCTTCTAGCATTTGTGGGGAGGTGTCCGAGCAGGCCCGGGTACCTTGTACCGTGAGATTTTAGGAAGATCCCCTCAATCATACTTCCAAGACTTCCCATTGAAGATCCCTTGAAGCAAAACTCCAGGGTTTCTGATTGACTCTCTTGGAGGCCCTTTTGACTTAGTAAGTCTACTTAGTATCCCCCAGAAACCCTATTATAATCCCCATAACCCACCTTACTAACCCTACTTACTAAGTCAAAAGGGCCTCCAAGCTCTCATGTCATAGTTATCGGGCTCCTTGTTGTGATATAGTGCCTTGGCGGGATGGGGTGGGGTTTAGGGTTTACTGGAGGGCTTTCCTTTATACCGACTCGTCCTAAACCCCTTACCCTAACCCTTTAAAAAAACTGAAACCCTGTCGGGTTTTGCACTGTAGACATAGAGGATTTCAAAAAAAGAGTAGACAGGTCATTCAGGCTCCTGCTTCCAGGGGCTCTCACAGGTAAGATACTTTGTCATTGTTTACAAGGACGGTGTATAAGGGCCAATGGAGGGTATAATGCAGTGTTTGAAGAGGAGGTGAAGCTGCCGGATTATACTCCTACTTGCCGGTTGCAACAAAGTGTGGCAAGGTTGTAGCATTTCCGCTTTGGGGCTCATGACATGTATAGCACTGATCCGTACCACCAGGCCTACAGCCATAGAACTCAAGAAAAACCTCAAGCAACAAGCCTTAGACTTTGCGAGTTTGCTGGTGATGTTCGTGTCGCGGAAGGTAGCCTGTTGCGAGCTGTGAATCACGGTTGTCACTGCGCGAAGACGTAGCGACAACACCTGGGCGGATCTATAAGTAAGCCCTGATCCCACAGAACTAAACCCTAAACCCTAAACCCTAAACCCTAAACTCCTAAACCCTGAAGCCCGAGCCCTGAAGCTCGAGACCCGAGCAGGTCATGCGGCTTCTGGCCGCCAAGGCCAGTTGTCTTTGCTTTTGGAGCCGTGCAGCTGATCCCTAAGCTCTAAACTCAAGGCTTCTTAAAGGGATCTACAGGGTTTCTCAAAGGGATATTTTGGGTGTAGGGAAGGATCATGGGACTTAGTAAGTGGGGTCTTATAACCTTACTTACTAAGTCCCATGGTCCTTCAAGTAGCTGATGGTGTTGACCCACAACCTGCAGACACTAAACCGCAGCCCGAAACCCTAAATGCAAAATCCTGACCCTGAGCCCGAAATCCCTGCGCATCTCAGGGGTAACTTGGGGCTTGTAGTGTTGTGTAACAGGTTTTAAGGTCTGGGGTTTAGGCTCTGGGTTGCGGGTTCGGGGTTTAGGGCGTTTGAATCCAGATTCCGGGACCCCACGCCGAGCGCTTCACAGGCTTGGGCGTGGTCCGCATGCAAACCCTTTCTTGCAACCCTATACTTGGAGGCCCTTTTGACTTAGTAAGTAGGGTTAGTAAGGTGGGTTATGGGGATTATAATGGGGTTTCTAGGGGATACTAAGTAGACTTACTAAGTCAACAGGGCCTCCAAGTACAGTATCCCTTCAAGAAAAGAAATCCGTATCGTGACACTTAAAGGCACCCTCGTAGTAACCCAGTTCTATCCATCCAGACCTCACTGGGATAGCTGAGGATGCAGATGTTGCGAGAGGTGTCGCACTAGATCTTGACATGAAGACGCTTTGGGCCGACCTTGTAGGATTTGCATAAGGTAAACGAAAGGACTTTTTGCATCTGAAACCCAAAGCACAAAAAACAAGATTCGATTCGACACTCTTAGCCTAAAAGCCCCTGTGACCCCAAATACTGAGCCGTAAACCATAGCAGCCATGGTGTCTGTGTCGGGCTTTGTGGAAGGTTTAGAAAGTGGAAACGAGATCTGATAGGGTTTAAGCAGGCCATCCCAATCTGAACACGAGGGAATGGCAAGATGTGACGTCTTTGCATGCCGAAACACCACTGCATGATTCCAAAAAAGCAGCATCAACTCTACACCACAAATCTTACTTCAAGGTTCGTGGACGTTCTGAGTAGGCGTTTACGCAAGTTAAATATGCCCGTAGCTAAGTTGAAACTGCTGACGCCGGCGTGTTTTTAACGCCAATGAACCCTGAAGTTCCTTAAAGTGCCTTACTTTGCTACTCTTAGGAAGTATGTTTTCTATTCTTCTGATGAAGCTTAGGGGGGTTAATAAGAATATCGTTCTTCATCTGGTTCCAAGGGCGGCTAAGCTTGTCACATTCATAGCCTAACGTTTCGCAAAGCCCGATTCTAACCATGAAGGCCCCTGTATTTGGGCGCTGAAGCTCGTGAAGCCGGGGCCTGAACCCTAAGTCAAGCAACAACATGACCCGAAGTAAACCCAAAACCCTTAACCCTAAGGAACCAAATGCTTTCAACCCTAAACTTGAAGTCTACAGCCGTTTGAAGCATCAGGGGACGGCGTAAACAGTAGTAGTTATGCATGTTTCGATCTTCTAAGGCCCTTGTGATAAGGATCCTTCCTTGGAGCTCTTCTACAACCCGTTTAGAACCCTTAAATTACCCCTCCAAGCAACCCTTATTAGAGTTAGAGATCTTAAATGGGTGGTTGTCAAAATGAGGGTACCCAAATGAAACCCTGTAAGACCCTATACAGCCCAGAGGCGCTGAAGGAGCTCGGCTTCTTCGAGCCGCTGCCTCCCGGCATCCCCAGCTCGCTCCCGCTGCTGCCGGACCCGCACAGGGTGGAAGGTTTTAGGGTTTAGGGAGGAAGGTTCAGGGTTTAGGGTGGAAGGTTTCCGGGTTTGGGGTTTAGGCTGGAAAAAGCAGGGTTCGGGGTTGAGAGCTTAAGGTTGAAAAGGCCTTGAGGTAGTTTGGGGTTTACATTTTAGGGGTTCGGCAAATGCGACACGGACCAGGGTCCAGGCTCGGGGTCTCGGCTCCGGAGTGCAGGGAAGAAGGGAAGAGGCGTTCAGGGTTCGGGGCTGTTTGGCTGAGGGATGAAGGAGCGGGGACACCGGTTTGGGGGGGTTTTGGCTTTTGTCGTCAGGGAAGAAGGGAGACTGTTTGGGATGTTGTGGGTTTTGGCTATATCGGCTGTCAGGTTGATGGTTTGGTGAGAAGGGAACGGGGTTTGTATTCGAGGTTGCCCGTGTGCTATCTACGGCAAGGGGGAAGGGTTCAGGATTTAGATCTCGGCTTCAAGGTTGAAGGTGGATGGAAAGGCATGGTTCAGGGGCCGTGCTTTTTTTCTCCAAGGTGCGGCCAACCCGTGTTCGAAAGGTGCGGCGGACTTCCGGTCTCCTGGTGGTCCTCTGGTCCCATGGGCCTCTGGTGCCGCGGTCCTCTGGTCCCTTGCTCTTTTGTCCGCTGGGCTTTGCCATCCGGCTTTGAATACTGGAGGATGCGTTCTGATATGGTATCGCATCAAAGATTATGTGTGCTGTTACAATTATTACGACTCTTCTTCTTAATGTTAGCAGGACAGAAATATGCATGTGGCAAAGGACAGCAAAAAACGAGCGACCCCACCACGAGCAACAAAAAATGAAAGGATGTATGCATGTATACATACATACATAGATGCATACGTACATACGCACAAGCATACGTACATGATGTGGACAGTGCATGTATGTTCTGATTGTTGATTCTACTTTCTGCCCTTGATATAAACAGTACTGTTCATATAATATAGTTTAAATAAGCACACATGCTTTTGCTGCCGCTCCGCGTATACACGTCTTCTGAATGAAGCAGGTCCAGATCGTCTCATGTCTTCTATCAGTTATCCGACACCAAACGCTTACCAAGACAGATTCTCGGAACAATGTCCGCGCCGGGCCGTTCAACTGCCCATGCATGTCGCGGCACGCATTTTCGAGTGTGGCGCGATTGCGGGGGCCGATCCCAACCGCACCCACTCAGTGAGAAGTGCGGGTTGGCACCCTCCCGAACGGCCGCACATCAAACCACAACAGTAAGTTTTTGAGTTTTGACTGTTTGAATATGTGTCGCGCATAACACCACTTATTGAATAATGGTCTCATTCACCAGGTGATGTGGTTTATCGATACGATGATCTCTTGTACAAGTCCACGCCGAAGGGTGGCAGTGTTGTGCAGGTGCTGGCACGCCCTGGCGTGCTCTTGGTTATGGTGGCGATAATCATGAGGTTTGCCGTGCTCTTGGCCATGTAGTGTCAGTAGTGTTGTGCAGTTCAGCTGAAGAATGTGCAGTCTTGCCATTGGGTGCTCGTGCCTGTCAGCAGTGCTCAGTGCTGTGCAAGTTCGGAATGCTGTGACAGTATCATGACTGGAAGAGCTTTTAGTACACACGTGCATTTCCGGGAGCAAGAGCTGCACAAGTTGTCGTAGCAAGCTTCAAATTGAGCCTGATTGAGGTGGCGGTCAACCCACGTATCGAGCGGCCAGCAGCCACATGTGAAAAGTCCTTGCTTGCTCACCTGGTGCACTTGCTTGCAATCTGGCTTTGCCGCAGACATGGCTGCGTCGCTGCTTTCTAGTTCATAGGTTGAGAGTGAGAGAGAAATGCCAAAGTAGTAAGCAAGTAAATACAGTGAGGTTAGCCCAGATTGTCCTGTTCGGGTATACGGGATACCGCGACCTGGCTTTGTTGGCTTTGTTTGCTGCGTGTTTGCACCGTCCTCGTTCCAGGCATGTTTGACAGCGAAGTTGTGGCATTCTTTGGTGGCGCGGTTGCATTAAGTTCACAGGTCCAGCCCTGCTCTAACAGCATATTGCATGGAAATCGCACTGTTTCCACAGTTCCACGCTTGTGTGATCGCGAAATCTGGCATTTTCCAGTAGTGCGGCACGCGTTCGTAATGTGCTTTAGGCGCGTTACGATTGAAATGGCAGGCACTTGCAAGGGAAACCTCGAAATCGTAGCGTGCTTCGTGCGCCACCAAAGAAAGATTATAGAGTTTTTTGATGCGCGAAGCACGTTGCGATTTTGACGTTTCCCTGGAAACTACCAGCAAAAATTCTCATAACGTGCGTAAAGCACGTTATGAATGCGCGCCGTGCTACTGTAAAATGCTTAGAACCGTTCTGTTCTGTGTCTCCCGCCGTGGTGCAGTGGGCATTCCCACTCCCCTGGTGGTTCTATTTCTCGGAAAGGCCGAATTCACGATCAGCATTCTTGAGCCTGCTGCGACAGGTCGAGAGCCCCAAAGCCGGACTGCTGGACTCCTAGAGCCAGCTTGTTTAGCTCCCAAAGCCCTGCGTGTCAACGTCTTCCAGAAGCTTCTTGTGTTGACCCTTCGAAGTTTGCTCATTAATGACTACAGGACCACGAGTCAAGATGAAGCCGAAGAAGCATGAAGAAGCCATTGACGCTATGTGTCCGCAAGAATTCCGGCCTCAAGCACTGCCATGTCGGATAGTTCTGACAACTCCAGTTCCAGCGAAGCTGAGGCTGAAGAGGCAGAACTCGCAGAGGCCTGTGGCTCCAGCTCGTCGGCCGGGGATCCCACGTCGCCCAACCGGCGTGGACGCGTAGCTCTGTTCATTTGGTCCTGTTCACGTGCCTGCTCTGAATAACGGAATTTAGGACTTTACTATTTTCAAGCTGTGCTTGGGGGTCTTCCAAACGTGTCTCTTATTTGCAAGCAACGGCGTTTTCCGGCGACCTTTGATGACCGCAAAAATCCCAGCAGCGGCTCATTCCAGAAGAAGAAGACATTCCCAAACAAGACCTGAGGGAGTTGTCGAAGTACTTCCGCATGCATGGTCAGGATGCTGCCCTCAAGGCTTTGTTGTCGATGAGCCGTACCGCGAGTTGATGCCCGGCGGCGAAATGCGTGGAAGACACAAGCACGTTATCGTGCACATGACGTCTCCGTTTGCACTCAAAAAGGTCCAAGACTGGCTTGCGGGCAAAAGTGTTAAAAGGCCACTTCAGCTTCAATTTCACTTTCGGCATGATTGGCAAAACCTTCCATGCGTGTCTTGCCGCACATGCCGTGATTGGCTGTGTTGATGATTGCCAAAGAAAGATTTTGCAGCGTACTGCAAGTACCTTCTCGAAGACTCGCACAAGAAGTTGGTCAGTGACATCGATCAGGGCCCTTGGATCTGGCCAAGTTCACTCACAAGGCCAGGCAAAAGGTTATCAGCATGATGAAAGCCATGCCAAAAGATCAACAAGCCAAGAACGGCCTAACCTCCCCTTCCACACGCAAGCGCACTATGCTCACGTTCTCTGAAGTCACCGACATCGTAGTTGAGGAGCAGGTGTAGTCAGAGCCTCAGCTATGGACCGTCGCCAAGAGAAACAAGTGGAAGGTGATGATGGCAGCGCCGAAGTATTGTTTAGCGTGTTTCCGTGTGCCGCTGGCAATACAGGAGTGGATCTCGACCAAAACTTTGATTTTGAGCGGTGAGGTCGGAAAGACTTCCTTAGCCGCGCTGCACGTGCTTCCATTGGCAGGCACTACCAATTCATTTCCAGTCGTGATCAAATCCAAGGTTTCATCTTCCTCAACAGTGAGGGCTTGCTCTGGGACCTGCTTTGCAGAGCTGGATGTTCACCTTTGCAAGGGTCTGATAGAATTGGAGCATGATGGCAGCATCCACTGTCGAAATGTGGACGGCTTGATTCCGGCAGGTACCAAGCGAGTGTATGCAATCAATCACTCGCGGGCAAGTTTCTGGCCATGCATGAACCAGGAGCACCGCCATGCCATCCAACGACGTGTGGAATGGGTGTCTGTAGCAGAAGATCTTCACTTGCAGGGGCTAAGGAGCCTGTAGATGATGAAGATCTTTTCGGCCAGCTTGATTGACACAGGGGCGCTGCGTAATTCGGTGCTGTATGCTCCACGCCGATGGTCATCCGTAGCAGGCTCTTTGCTGCAAGTGGGCGCTGCGGCTTTGTTTTCTCCAAAGCATCCATCAGCCGCTGTGCTAGATTTGCATCCTCTTTTTGACAAGCCGTCACCCATAAACTGCGTTTGCACAAGCTGTTGAAAGGGCGGAATCATCGGCTGGTCCTGGCTGTGCCCAATGTTTTGCACTCAGCAACTTCTCTTGATAAAGAGCAGAAGGCTCACGTGAAACATAGCCCAGCCTAGCCCAGTCTTGCCGCATGGTGGGCCTTCCTGTCCGGTTCGGCTCCTCAGGTGCTAGACCATTCTTAACTTTCGTGACGTTCTAAAGCACCGATACATGAGACACTCGGTACATGCATCTGGGGTGCTACTCTGTAAATGTTGAAAGTCAAAAGTCGGTACACGCATCTGGGGTGCTATTGAAACCCCACACTCGTCAGGTTTTGGGTTTCGGGGCTTGGTGTTGCGGTGTAGACGGGTCTCTCTCTCTTTCTCTCCCACAAATTGGAATTCAACAATAGCTTGATGGAAGACCAAGCCCCGCACGTTGGAATTCACAAATAGCTGGAAGGAACGCCAAGCCCCACAAGTTGGAATTCATCAGTAGTTTGACTTGAACAACGTCCTTGGCTGCACCTCGGAAACAAAAGGGTTGGCCGCACCTTGGCCAAAAAAACCCCGCCCGGGGTTCAGGTTGTGGGTTACGGTTAAGGATCGGCTTTCGGGACTTGCAGTTGGAGGTTTCCCTAACTCGTTCGAACGCCCGATGCGTTCTTTTTCTTGGTTGTTACGCAATGAACTGTATCCCCGAAGCTCCCTGCACTAAAGGTACGTTTTCAGTGCTAAGCCAAGAGTCCTGGACCTACACCCTAAACCCTAAAGGCTGCACAAACCCTAAGCCCCGCGTCTCAAGCCGTAGACTTTCCCAGCACTTGCAAATAAGCCCTACACCCCAAACCCCAAACTCGGAACTAGAACCCTAATCCTTAAACGCTAACCCACTCAAACCGGAGGAGAGGCTGAAGCACGATTGCAGGGTGGCCTTCCGCACCTTCAGCAGCTGGGCGATTGTGTTTTGGGCCCCGGAAGGATGTGGGATTTTTGGAGTTTGAAGCTTTGTGGGTTAGGCTTCAGTGCTTGTGCGCTTTTGGGCTTCGAGCTGAATCGGGGGGCCGGTGCGAAGGTAACTTCAGTCATAATTCGAAATGAAGGACACATTCTGTACAGTATGTATAATAATATGGGTGGCAGCATCTGGTTGTAGGATCGTCATCATCGTCGCCTGGGGTCCGCCCATGTCCGCCCTCCTGAGCTTCATAGGCTATACCTCAAGATTCAAACCCTAAACACATGAAGTCGAAAAGCACCCTGGGATGAACTAAGCCCGGCACCCTAAACCTTAGCCCCAAACGCAGATCCTCCAAGGACGCTTTACCGACGAGGGCCAAGAGGTCATTGACCCCTACGACGTGAAGAGCGCTCTGATGTACGCAGGATACCAGCCTAGAAAATCCGGGTCTTTTGATGGTTTTCCGAGGTCGTAAAGGTGGTGCTTGAAGTTGTATAAGGGTGTAGTACAACAGTTTCAGAAAACGTCGGACCTTCATTTCACCACAGAAATAGGTAAGGATGTTTCTTATGAGGACAGCGAATAAAGTACCTCTAGTCGTCGACACTCCTGATAGAGCTTGGCGCTACCGCGCTGCTGGTCTGATGACTGATTTTCGGTTTTCCGTTTGACGGTTTTTGAATTCTAGATCTCGAGGTGTAATGAACTTCTATGACGCACGACGAGCCCCAGTAAAATCCCTTCCCTGCCATCCTTGAAACACTGAAGAAGTCCAAGCCCTAGAGGGCGGCAGCTAAAACGCCGAATCCCCGAGTACTAACATAAACGTCCAAGGGTTAGCTTCAACAGTAGGGTGCAGGATTCCAGGTTTTGGGGATTGTGCCAGCCCCCCTTGCCTTGCAGCTCCTTGATAAGCAAACGGTGCGCCCGTTGAGGACCTAAACCCCTACATTCTAAACGCAAACCCTTACAACCCTAAGCTTTCAACCCTGAGCCCTCAAACCCTCGGCCTTGAACCCCACAACCCCGCGACCCTAAACTCCCAACCCCTACATGCCTATTAATTACCAATACAAGTTTGGGGTTCCTTATTATAATCATAGTATAGTGGGCACCAACACCCTTTTCTGATTATTAAGGCCCATGCATTAGGTGCATACTACAACTTCCGTGCCAAGGAATCTTTGGGGCACAGCTGAGCCACGAAAGGCTTTTTCCTTTGTCCGAGGCAGAGCTGTCGTGTTGGGGGCGTTAAGGGTTTTCATAGGAACTTCAGTGGTTTTGCTGAGGTCTTATGGTTTTCCGTTTAAATTGTTGTCAGGTTGTGAGGGTTTTATAAGGTCTTCATGACCTGTACAGAGTTTTCCTGCTGTTGTTTGGGTTTTTGTAGCGTTGTTATCGGGTTTTGTAGATTGTTCCAGGGTTTTCTTAGTGTTGTTTAGGGTTTCATAACACTTTTGGGGGTCTGCGGTTGAAGGTGGCGCGATACATGATTCTCAAGCGTACATGCTAAAAGCTGTCAGTGCTATGCACGTCAACATTTCTGGGTGCTGCTCATTGTTTTGACTTGTTTGTGGTGCTTGCATGACTGCCCCCATTGCCACAACTCACGTTCGCACGACTCGGGTCCTTGCGTTTTAGGCTTCAGACCACCAGCAGGGTGGAGGGCCCTGTGGTAGTCGCACACGTTGCAAGGTCGAGGGCCCGTCCTCGCCAGGAGTTCTTCCAGTCCGTAGTTAAGGAGCAGAACCTAAAAGCCCAAACCCGAAGCCAAAAGTTCTGATGCCCAAAAACTGTACATGTTAGTCAGTTTAGTTCTGCAAACTCAAATGGGACACAAATCGTGTGGTGCGGCTCAGCTTATTCTATCTCGGGTAACGAGTCGAGGCTGTTTCTTCTCTTAGAATTTCTCTTTGTAATCTCGTTGGTGTTGATATGTGATGCTGAGTTTCCAGAATGCCACTGGCATGGGCTATCCCCTCATACGTCTATTCCACTTACATTGAACCTTAAAGAGCACCTTGAGCCCTAGAAGCCCTAAGCCCTAGGCCGTGGAGTGGAACCTCAAGTAGCACCCTGAAAACTTTTCAATTTCTTGTTTTGGTTTCTATAGAGGTATTGATTCATTTTTTCCTTTTCAGGGCCCCAAACCACAACCCAGAAAGGACAGAACCCTAAACAACCCTCAACCCAAGCCCTAAACCCTAAATCTTAAACCCTCCCCAGAGCCAACTGCGAGAGGCTCAGTTCGTGCATGTCGCCAACGAGGCGTCGCCCGGCCACCACAGCTTTTGATTCGGTTTTAGGGTTTTACTTGGAGGCCCTGTTGACTTAGTAAGTCTACTTAGTATCCCCCAGAAACCCTATTATAACTCCCAATACCCACCTTACTAACCCTACTTACTGAGTCAAAAGGGCCTCCAAGTAGGGAGTCTAAGGTTTCGGGTTTAGGGGGGTGTAATATGGGTGTCGGAATGAATGGTCGAATTCTTCCCTTAAAGTCCAACAACATACAAATGGGCGGTTGTGAAAATTAGGGTCCCTTTTTGGGTCCTTATCAAGATACGGCACCTATTATTTAGGGTACCCAAAACGGGACCATAATTTTGACAGCCACCCAAATATACATGTATCTATGCATGTACACAAAAGATTGGCAGCCTGCGACGCTCTCTGCTCAAGCTTCTCCTGCTTGCCAGATGGCCCTGAGCTTACAAACTCCGATAGCTCTTGATCGTCGAAAACGCTTTGAAGCACATTGAAGGACCTGAGGAACCCTTACTCCCTAAGCCAGTGGCCAGGAATGTAGTTTGAAGCCGTGGCACAGTGGCTCCAAGGTACATGACCCGGTTCAGCGCCAGACAGATTGCAGCTTTGAAAGCACAGAATTCTGGATGGCCTTTGTGAGGGCTAGCTAATCGTGGTTTTCCTCTCTGTCTGTATTCGTCGCTGCAGAGACGAGTGATAAATGCATACAGGCCCGGTAAAACAACTGGACAAACAACAAGTCGTATGCGGTGTGCGTAAACAGCGTTTTGTACAACAAACTTGCATGTACACACACGCATGCAGGCAGGCATAGTTAGTGACGCAGATCAGATTGTATGTTTGTGGCAGTCAAGTTCTCGAAGCCCAGCATGAGGCCATCGCCGAGGACCTCTTCGGCAAATTTGACGCAGACGGTTCAGGCGACTCCTCCTTTTGGGCTTGGTGCTGCGAGGATTGGGTTCAGGAGTGCTCATCTCAGTTGTAGTCCTATGACGAGCATGACAAGCATCATGAGCGTCACGAGCATCACGAGCATCACGAGCATCATGAGCATCACGAGCATCACGAGCATCACGAGCATCACCAGCATCACCAGCATCACCAGCATGACGAGCATGAGGAGCATGACGAGCATCACAAGCATCATGAGCGTCACGAGCGTCACGAGCGTCAACAGCATCAGCAGCATCACGAGCATCACGAGCATCACGAGCATCAGCAGCATCACGAGCATCACGAGCATCACGAGCATCACGGGCATCACGAGCATCAGCAGCATCACGAGCATCACCAGGACGACGGGCATCACGAGCATCACCAGCATCAGCAGTATCACGAGCATCACGAGCATCACCAGCATCAGCAACATCACCAGCATCACGAGCCTCACGAGCGCATCACCAGCATCAGCAACATCACCAGCATCACGAGCATCACGAGCATCACGAGCATCACCAGCATCAGCAGCATCACCAGCATGACGAACATCACAAGCATCATGAGCGTCACGAGCGTCACGAGTGTCACGAGCGTCACGAGCGTCACCAGCATCACGAGCATCACGAGCATCACGAGCATCACGAGTATCAGCAGCATCAGCAGCATCACCAGCATCACGAGCATCACGAGCATCACGAGCATCAGCAGCATCACGAGCATGACGAGCATGAGGAGCATGACGAGCATCACAAGCATCATGAGCGTCACGAGCGTCAACAGCATCAGCAGCATCACGAGCATCAGCAGCATCAGCAGCATCACGAGCATCACGAGCATCACGAGCATCACGAGCATCACGAGCATCACGAGCATCAGCAGCATCACGAGCATCACGAGCATCACGAGCATCACGAGCATCACCAGCATCACCAGCATCGCCAGCATCACTAGCACCACCAGCACCACCAGCATCACCAGCATCACCAGCGTCATTAGGAGCCTCGGTAGGTACTACTAGCATCACAACCATCACGAGCGCCACCAGCATAAGCAACATCGCGGCACCACCATCATCATCGGCACCTTTGCCAAGCGAACGGACCTTGGCAGGGAGAAAGACACGGAATGCCGAACCCGACATGCTATGTGTTTGAGACCCGTATAGGACCTGTAACACAAAGTCCTGCATCCTGAACGGTGTGAGCTCACGGCCCTATAAGCTGCGAACACTCAGCCCAAATGCTGAAAGTTCTTTCGCGTAAATGGTAACCGTGGTAACTTTGCAAGCCTATTACCTTGCTGTTCTGCATCTGAGAATAAGTGTCTGTAAACCCTAGTGCACTAAGTTGTAATATTCGCAGAAGCCTCAGTCTAATCATCAGAAGTATCAAGCCCTAAGCACCACTCGGAATTCCCCTGACTGCAGGCGCGTTGGAGCTGGACGAGTTACACATGGCCCCCTGGATGCAATTTTCCGGAATTGGGCTTGCTCCATTTGGCCGGGTTTGCGGACTTTGCTTCGCTTAGGCTTAAGGCCTAAACTCTAGAGCCTAAAGCCTCAACCCGAAACCGAGAGCTTAAGAGCCCACGCAGTTGCCGCTTTTCGAGATGACGGGTTCAAGCTTTTCCTTCTGCTTCGGTCAATGATGGAAGAGGTAGTCAGAAATATTTCACTGCAGGCACGTGAACGCAAAGCTTGCTAGACCAGGCAACCAGAAACTATGCTGATTGCAGCTGATCGCCGCCAGAATCCTGCACTTATCACCACTGCCATTACTGGCACCACTACCTCCCCACAGCCGCGGCCACACCACCATCGTCGCCTTGTCATAACATGTCATATCACTTCATCTTATATCGTACCGCATCAGATCAGATGGTACCAAGATGTGCCAAGTCAGATCAGATCAGGTCAAGTCGAATCAGATCAGCTGCCCAGCTGTTTCGTGCTCCTGCTCATCATCGTCATCATCATCTTCATCTTCAGTATCCGCTTGTTGTCGTTTCGTGGTGGCGGTGGCGGCGGTGGTACTGGTCTCGTCATCACTCAGCGTCATCACATCATTCGATCATGGTTTTGCACGAAAGGATGACGTGCTCGTTGATGGTGTTGCTGTTGTTGATGAGTATCATTACGCTAAGAAGTTGATGATGGCTATGACCATGACAACAATAATGACGACGACGATGATTATGACATGAAGGCGATGCCGACGATGATGACGATGATTACTTTGATGATGTTCATGTTGATGATGATGGCGATGATGATGATGATTGCGATTGTGAAAGTTGTTGGGTCCACCGATACCTCCTATGATGTTAATGATGACGGTGATGGCATGGGTAGTGAAAGAAATGATGATGAAGTGTTGGAAGTTGCCTGGCGCGAAAGCTCTAAATGCCAAACCCTGAGTAAACTCATCCTTCGTAACCCTTTGATGTAACCCCTCCATGCCCGCGTCATGCTACTTGTAGGGTATAGGGTCAATGACCTCTGTGGGGATCCGAATTGTAAATCCCTTTTAAAACAAAAAGGGATCGATTGATCAGGGGTTTGCGTTGCAACGCAGGTGTGATCCAAAGGAGATCGGCCTAGAGGACACAACAGCCTCAAAAACGAATATACTTTAAACTAGAGGGGGTCCGCGGTATCTTTCAGAATGTATTCATGAATCCAAGGCTTGTTGTTTACTCCAAGATTTGACGGACGCCTCTCATGCCCTGCAGAAGAAGAAGAGAGAGGGGGAGAGAGAGAGAGAGAGAGAGAGAGAGAGAGAGAGAGAGAGAGAGAGAGAGAGAGAGAGAGAGCGAGAGAGAGAGAGGGAGAGGGAGAGAGAGAGAGAGAGAGAGAGAGAGAGAGAGCGAGGGAGGGAGGGAGGGGAGACAGAGAGAGAGAGAGAGAGAGAGCACAAAAAGGAGTGATAGTCTGATAGAGCAGGTTATTCAGGAGATGACCGGTGTCGACGAGGCTCTTTTGGGTTTGTCTCTCATGTTAGGGTCTAACGTTTGGGATATAGCTTCGGGTTAAAGTTAAGGCTTAGGATGGGGCTAGGGGTGCCATAGTTTAGGGTCCTGGTGTTAAGGATCCGACTGTTGTACTATTCGGTTGTAGTACGGCAATGATCCTTCTCAAACTACCTGTTGGAGTTTTCGAGTTTTGGCTTAGGGTAACAAACACTCTAGGTTCGAGGTTTCGGGCTAATGGCTCCGGGTGCAGAATTGGGAGTTCAGGTGTCGGGGGGGGATGTCTGTAGATTTTAGCTTCTGCGATCACTGAGTGAGCTCGCGGTTAGTGGGATTCTTTCACGCAGTGCCAGTAGAACCAGCATGGGGCTGTGCAGAAGGGAGGGGCGAATGCTGGGTAAGTGCAGCCGCAAGAGTTGTCAAGGCTTTCATCGTATCTTCAGTGCTGAAGTCGCATCTCCAAGCCTACCGCAGGTCATGAAATGCTGGCATGCCATGCGTGCCTATGAAACTCCGTGTCCGCAACCTGGGTAGGTGCACGACAGCCAAATCGACGGTCTTGCCGCCTCGTGGAAGGGCTCTTGCCGTGTGGCCGCCTGGCAGCCGTTGGTGGAGCAGGGGCCTTTTTTTTAAGAATGGGTTTAGGGTCAGAATGATCGACGGATGCCCTCACCCCGCAGGCACAACAGTTGACTTGCACTGACTGGGTGTCTCCATCTCCGCAGCTTGATCCCCCTAAACCCTAAACCCTAAACCCTAAACCCTGAACCCTAAACCCTAAACCCTAAACCCAAAACCCTAAATCCTAAAGTAGTAACACCCCGAAAGCCTCAATCCGAGCAAGGACCAGTCGGGGCAGCTCGTGATCGATCGCCAAACCTTCCTGAGCATCATGTCCCGCTATGTCGCTTTGCAGCAAGCCTTGCTGTTTGGCGTTTGGGTTTCCAGGCCTTCGGGTTTAAGTCTGCTGGGTTTTGGAGTTTTAGGGCTTGAAAAACGGATTCCAACGGTTCTGTGGAGTCGAAGGATTGTTCCGAAGAAATTCGGGGTTGCAGGGCTTCTTGAAGGGACCTACAGACTCCATAATCCATTGCTTCACACCGGTTGAAAAGGATCCATAGCATGACGTTGGAAGTTGGAATATACCCTAAACCCTCTCAGCGCTAAGCCACTCAACCCCTAGACCCCTGAACCCCCCAAACCCAAACGGGCGATGCAGAAGCTTCCAGAGTTGGCCCCAAAGCGCACGTAGATAAAGCCGTATCGCAAAAGGCAGCATAAAAGCAGGAAGCGTAATATAGGGCTTGTAATAATTAGAATAAGGTTCCTGTAGCGGTTCTGTTGAAATTGATGTAGAAGGGCCAATGCAAGTTTACAAGGGTTCTATATCGGTTTACGATGTCCTAATAATCAGAAGCGGTTTTCGACCAGATATCAAAATGTAACTACAAGCAAGAATCAATTATGTGCTTTATGTGCTATGTGCTGTATGTGCTATGCGACCGGAAGGAGCCCGCTTGCCTAAACTGGCACGAACCCAGAGAGCCCTCATGACCCTGAGGTGAAGGCCCACATGAACGACTACATGTTGCTGCAGGCACGGGTTTCGGGTTGAACGTTGTAGGGGAATCGGCTAGGACTGTCACGCTCCCTGGAGCTCGAAAACCCCGGTTATCCTGCAGAGTCGGGGATGGTGGGGGCTAATTGGGGTCCTTACAACCTCAATGGTATAATAGCCATCGTTATGATTGCCTGAAGCCCAATGTGCGGGGCTTGTGAACCTGCTTCCGAAGCCCTACCTAGACAGTAGCCCGCTACCACAAACCCTAAACCCCCAAAGCCTTACGCAGGTATGATAGTTATTCCGATCTATGTATCGCAGCATCAATCGGGGAGTTGGGGGCTTCGGTTTAGCGGTACACTTGCTTCGGACGTAGGGTTGACTGTATGAAGGCCATGGGTCTAGGGGGTTAGGGGTCTAGTTTCGTTGTCGATGTAAAGTAGTCAGCTACAAGCAGGGAAGGAACTCAGGTAGGCATGGCTATAGCTGCAAAAAGGCCCTAAATAATTCCCTCTATATACCATCCTCGGGGTTCCTTAAAAATCAAACATAAATCCTAAGCTCCCCTACTTCTAAATACATCCTAAGTTCCCCTAGTTAAAAATGAATCCTAAGCTCCCCTACGCCCTAAACCAAAGCCTATAAACCCTAAACCCTAAACCCTATAAACCCTAAACCCTAAACCCTAACCCTAAACCCTAAATGAAGCAGTAAGAGCCACCAGGGGCTCCTGGAGATGACGAAGACGAAGCCGGACGAGCTCATGAGCTCGAAGCTGACGTTGGAGGCTCCTTTTTTTGCTTAGGGCAAAGGGGTTTGGGGTTTAGGGTTTAGGGGTTTTGTATTGGGTTAAGGGTTAAGGGGTTTTGTATTGGGCTAAGGGTTTGGGGGTTTAGGGGTTTAGGGGTTTATGTGGGGTTAAGGGTTTAGGGTTTAGGGTTATATAGGGTTAAGGCGGTTAAGGGTTTAGGGGTTTATGTAGGGTTTAGGGTTTAGGGGTTTAGATAGGGTTAAGGCGGTTAAGGGTTTAGGGGTTTATGTAGGGTTTAGGTTTAGGGGTTTATATAGGGTTAAGGCGGTTAAGGGTTTATTGGTTTATGTAGGGTTTAGGGTTTAGGGGTTTATGTAGGGTTAAGGGTTCAGGGTTTAGGGGTTTTGTATTGGGTTAAGGGTTTAGGGGTTTAGGGTTTAAGGGTTTTGGGTTCAGGCGTTTAGGGGTTGAGGGTTTAGGGTTTGGGGTTTAGGGGTTTAAGGGTTAAGGGCGTTTCCGAGAGTTTATAGGGGACCTTATTTGGACCTCGATTAACAATTCCAAGCGCCCAGCAGGGCGAGATGGCGGGAGAGAGAGAGAGCGAGAGAGAGAAAGAGAACGAGCGAGGTTTTGGGTTTTCAGGATTTGCACTTAGGTTTTCGAGACTCTTGACTCCAATAGCTACAATAGCTACAGTAGCGGATAATAGCCGACACAAAAAACCTGGACCCTAAAACCTAAACCACCGAGCTTCCCGCAGACGTTGGCGGACGCCTTGAACACCAGCGGTGAAAATGCCGAGGCCATAGCAGGGAATTTACTTTCTACGGGGGTCTGGGCGGTCTGGGTTTAGGATTCAGGGTCCGTGGATTCAAGCCTTGGAGCCTTCTCAGCTTTCTCCGAGACCACCCGACTGAAACTTGGAAGGCCGCGATGAAGTTTGCGAAAATTAGGGGTACCTTTATTTTGGGGTCCTTATTCTAAGGAGCGTACTATTTAGGGTATTATTTTGGGGTCCCCCAATTTTTCGGAAACTCCCATCACGGGGATACTAAGTCGACCTGCCGAGTTGAAGAGCCTCCAAGTAGTCTTGAGCCCTTCTCAGCGAGGTTAGGGCTTCGGGCTTCTTGAGCTGTAGATCCTAAGGTTCCGGGACCTACGCCCCAAACCCTAAACAATGTATAAGGGCCTGGATAATTCCTCACGCTGTTCTGCTGTTTTGGGGTTCCTCATCAGAATTATAGTACAATCTGCACCAAAACCCTTCTCCAATTTGTTAAGGCCCCTATACTAAACCCTTATCGTTGCCCTTATAGACCAACCTTTAAAGGAACCCCCAATTACTAAGGACCCTATTGTAAACGGTTTAGGCTGTCTTACACGAGCAACCCTTCAGCCCCTAAATCGTCTTACCTGTGGTTAGTGGGGAATGGAAGAATGGTAGTAATAGTAGTTATCATTATGCCCCATTCCTCCATTCCCTACTAACCAATATTACCCTAAACCCTAAACCCAAAACCCGGAGAAAGGGGCGTTATTGCACTTAAAAAAAAAACCCAAAACCCTAAACCCTAAACGCACCCCCTAAGTCACCAGAGGTGCGGGTCTACCGTCACGCCGTCGCCAAGCTCCGCAGCGCCAGCCTGCGGCAGTCCATGGAGGCCTGGAAACGCCTTAAAAGGGTTCTTGCTACGACACGGGTCAATATATATATATATATATATATATATGTATATATATATATATATATGGTTTAGGGTTTAGGGTTTGAGTTTAGGGTTTAGGGTTTGAGTTTAGGGTTTAGGGTCTAAGTTTATAAGATTTAGGGTTTCAGTTTGGGGTTCGGGGTCTACGTTTAGGGTGTAGGTGTAGGGGTTCCGAAAAGGGTTTAGGGCCAGTCCTGGGTTCCTTACGTCGTTCGTTTTGGTTTCCTACGGTTGATGGAAGGGGCCTATAGGGGGTACCTTTAAGGGCTTCCTTTAAGGGCTTCCTTTAAGGGCTTCCTTTAAGGGATCTATAAGGGTTTAGGGTTTAGGGATAGAAATCCTGCATTACCCGAAGTGCCCTAAACTATGGGAATTATGGTACATTCCCTACGATGGGTTATATGCAGGATTTATATCATCAGCCGTAGTTTCCCAGACTAAGACGCCTTCTACGGTACTTGGAGGCCTTTTTGACTTAGTAAGTAGGGTTAGTAAGGTGGGTTATGGGGATTATAATAGGGTTTCTAGGGGATACTAAGTAGACTTACTAAGTCAACAGGGCCTCCAAGTATTTCAAGGGGGTGGAACAACATTACTCTAGGGGCTTAAAAGAATCACCAGCACTATTTTGGGGGTTCCTCATTAGAACAAAAGTATAACAGGCCCCGAAACCCTATTCTAATTGTTAAGGCTCCTATATTAGGAGGCTGAACCTGAATTGAGTTCGTGTGGTGCAGACGCAAGCGCACGATAGAAGTGCACCCGCTGAGTGCGCACGGTCTGCACACCCTAAACAAGCCCAGCGGCCCCAACCCACAAAACCTGAACTACCTCCTCTAACAACCTTCCTCTCATCAGGACAGCGCGCACGAGAGCGTCATGGATGTGGTGCAGGACCCTGAGCCCCCAATGGCCCGAGCCCGAAGCTTTAAACTCCCACTTATTAGATTATTAGCCCAGACGAAGACGCGTCTGTAGTGCCAGAGGCTACGCGGTATTACCAGGGCCTCATAAGGGGGTCATGTAAAGGATCACTCTGTTTGGACACTGGGACTCTTCGGGTGTAGAGTGTGTATATTATAGCCTTTCTAGAGTTAGCGTTCGTAGGGTTGAGTAGACGTCCGCAGAGTTTCGAGTTTAGATAGCGGCATGGTTACGAAGGCCAGCCACAGGCAGCCGAGATAACCCGACCACACCGAAGTCTTGCCACAACACGTGCTAGGAGGATCATGGGACTTAGTAAGTAAGCTATAAGTACTTGTAAGTACAGTTACCTTATTTATAACCTTACCGTACCAAGTCCCATGATCCTCCAAGTGCTCCCGACTAAATCCAGGCAGCCAGCTGCAGGCCGCAGCTGCGGGAAAGAGTCCTAAGACATAGCCAGCATGCACCACATCTCCTGCGAGCAGGAAGGCATAATCGTTTTTAGTCCTAGTATAGCCAATAAAACCCCAAATATACACCCACTAGCATGCACAAGGAAGTGTATACAGGGTAATCCTGGGCATCAAGACCGCAGCGTAGATGACTGAATATTTCGTACCAGTATTTCCTTGTCATTCCTTTACCCGTTCTATCCACCAAGGCCTTTTTCTGCATACTATTGGCCCCACCTAAACTATAAAACGATTTCGCAGCCGTATATAGTATATAATCATCACGAAGCCCTTGTAAATGGCTACAAAACCCCAAACCCACAACCTTATCGCTAAGGCTCCTACATCAGAGAGGAAAACGCTACATCACCCTTACTCTATTTGTTAAAGCTTCAATATCAAAAGTGTCTCTGTCGCCGCATATTCTCAACCTTAAACCTAGCCCTAAACCCTCAAAAGCCCCGTCAGCACACTTGCAGTAACCCGTCCAACCCTAAGCTCTAAACTTTAAACCTTTACGCCCCTAAACCCTTATAAAGCCTAAACCCCAAACCCATATAACCCCAAACCTCCCTCAGGAGATCGTCTGGGCTCACAAGCCTCTCGCCCGTGCCGGCCGCGGCCCAAGATGCCAGCACTTCGGGTTTTCGCTTTGGAAGGGTTCCTTGCAGTGTCTATGTGATACAATATCTTATTAGATTCTATTCGGGCTCCTATAAGTACTCGATGTCAGTTCTGAACGCCAGGTGCTCACTGGAAAAAGCCGTTGATCTTGTATGTGTGGGATCTTGCAGTGGTGCATATCGTGCCCACCGCTCGACCCAGGCGGTGACTCGAACTTGTCATCACTGGAACCTTGGCTGCCTCGGAAGGGTTGTGTTTGTTTTGCTCAGGACTTGTGCATGCTGTGTGACGAAGTCCCGAATCTCTGTTAAAGTTTACTGAAAGAACGGAACCATACGCCCTGTACGCATAACAAGCCCACGCGTTTGAATTCTTGAAGCTTTCAGCTCCAACATGGACACGGATGTCAAAGCTTGAAGATGCACAGTTCTTTCGGGCCCTTGGACCCGGAGACGTTTCAATCGCAGACATGTAAACTGCAAGCCCGACGCTTTCGATCCTGCATCCTCAATGCTGACAGCATAGTCTGAATCGCAATCCCGAAGCCCTAAACCCTAAACCCTAAACCCCAAACCCTACACCCCAATCTCGAAAGCATTAAATCGTTAGCCTCAAGCTGCTTTAGGGGCCTGCACTGGGTATTTGAGCGAGCTCCGAACAGTCTTGTGATGTTTTAGTGTTAGGTGTCTTTAGGCTTATATTTCTCCAGGTTTTTGAAGGGTTTTAAGGTTTGTGTTGGGCTTTACCTGTTTGGGGGTTCTGGGGGACGGTCAAAAAAAGGGAGTGGTGAGGTGGTGGTAGCGGTGGTGTTGGTGCTGGTGGTGGTGGTGGTGGTGGTGGTGGTGGTGGTGGTGGTAGTGCTGGTGGTAGTGGTGTTATGTAGCTTAGTTGTCGTGGACGTAACGCTAGTCGGAGTGGTGGTAGTGGTAGTGGTTGTAGTCGTCCAGGACCAGGAGGAGGCGGAGGTGTATGCTTTAATGTAATGGTAGTGTTCTGCTGCTGCTGATGATGATGACGGTGATCAGCCCTGAACCCTAAACTCCTAAACGCGAAACACTAAACCCCAAAGCCTCAGACCCTAAACTCCTAAACCCGAAACCCTACGCCCCAAACCCTAAACTCTAAACCCTAAAGCCCCAAACCCCCAAAGATCCCTTATAGTTCCCTTAAAGGAACCCTTATAGTACCCTTTTAAAAGGAACCCTAAAGATGGTCATGGCGATCTAGGATTTCACAGACCTGGTGGCCGCTGCCATGCCGTGCCTGGGCTCAAGCGCCTGAGTTTTTTTTTTGCGTCCGTCGGGAGACTGCCGATTTTAGGTTTGAGGGTGTAGATCTGGTAGATCATACTTGGAGGCCCTTTTGACTTAGTAAGTCTACTTAGTATCCCCTAGAAACCCTATTATAAGCCCCATAACCCACCTTACTAATCCTAGTTACTAAGTCAAAAGGGCCCCCAAGCAACCGAAGCTATATTCTGTTAATACCGGGAGGCCTGCAAAGTTAATGTTCAATTAGAGGTTGCGGTGTATCATTCATAGGAGGCCAGAAGGGGTTTTAGCATATGTGGGTTTAGTAGGGATTAGGGTTCCCATAGTACGGTTCATATTCAGGAATCCCTACCCCAAGAATCTTAAACCCCCCCTTGTGGCCTCCCATCAATCATAGGTGCAACCATCTACAGGGGCTCTAAAGGCAATCCCTGGGAGTCCCAAGCCCAACTCAGAGGACTAACGGGCCTGGGAAGTACGGTCGATGAGATAAATCCTGCATTACCTATAATAAGGAATATACCATAACTCCCATAGTTTAGGGTCCTTCAGGTAATGCAAGATTTATATTATCAACCGTAGGTTCCTAAGAAATGTGGCCATAGCTATACTTCCCTGAACCCGAAGCCCTAAATTCACGCATAGCCTCAATTGAGGAACTCGCGACCGTACTTACTAAGCCCCTCAAACCCCAAAACCCTTCAACCCTTCAACCCTTCAACCCTAAAAACCCTAAACCCTCAAGCCCTTAAACCCTTGAACCCTCAAACCCTTAAGCCCTAAACCCTGATCGTCTAAGTAAGCCTTTGAGGCTCGGGAGCCCTCAGCCCCATTGAGCGGGAAAGCCTGAGCCCGAAACCGTAGACCCTGAACTTGGTGGGTTTGCCGGGAAAAGGAGACCCCCTGCCCTTCCGACCAAAAAAAGAAGCTGGTTTAGGGTTTAAGTTTAGAGTTCAGGATTTGGGGTTTTAGGCTTTGGGTTTAGAGTTCCGGGCTCGGGGCTTTGGGGTTTGGAGTTCGCGGTTTAAGGTCTCGAGTTCAGGGTTTAACGACTTGTGGTCTCCAAAGAGGGCCCTAAACCTTTACCTAAACCTTCAAGCCACGCTAAAGCCTCTATAAGAAATTTCCTATAAGAAGCGCAAAATCATCCATAACTCCCCGGTTCAACCATGATAAATCCTTGGCAAGACCTGGGCAAAGCCTAGGACGGAATTGCGCCCAAAAGCCGGCGCCACACTGCCGCCAAAGCCACCGAAAAAGGCTGCCCGCAGTCACAAGGCCCTCCGGTTTTTCGATTCTTAAAAACATGTTTGGTTGTTTGTTACATGCTTAAGCCTCTTATACCATGACGTACTACACTTATATTAAATGATGCACACACACACACACACGCGCACATATATATATATATATATATATATATATATGTATATGTATATGTATATGTGTATATGTATATGTGTATATGTATATGTGTATATGTATATGTATATGTATATGTATATGTATATGTATATGTATATGTACATGTACATGTACATGTACATGTATATGTATATGTATATGTATATGTATATGTATATGTATATGTACATGTACATGTACATGTATGTGTATGTGTATGTGTATGTGTATGTGTATACACACATACCCGCATACATTTATATGACACATGTTCATACATATGTGCAGCCTATGTTTCATTGACTACATAGGTTCTTCAGATTAGAATAGGGTTTGGGGTTGGGGGTATATTCTACTATGATTAAAATAAGGCACCCCCCCACAACCTTACATAATAGAATTATTAAGGCCCCTACACTATATCCTTGAAACTGAGACCCGGGGCTTTGTAGGAGCACCCAAAGCCCTGGACCCCAAACTCTGAACCTGCTACGGGCTCAGCCAGCGTGGCATTCGGGACACAGGTTTACCTGCGGACGGAAAGATGCAAGTGATAAGCAAGCTCTAAACCTCCAGCCCCATAATCTTAAACCCTAAGCCTAAACCATGAGCCCCAATCCCAAACCCTAACCTAGCCTCAGCCTGCACATGCGCCCTTGATTGGCGAGTCTTCGTGTCAAGGGTGTGTAGCCATGAAAGAAACCCGAAACCTGAAACCCTGGATTGTGGCTTCGGTTTTTGGGCAGGGTTCCGGTTTCCGCGGCAAACACTTCCAGGAGCAACTGCCGGCAGAGGATCTGATCCTTGGCAGCAGGGGCAGTGCCCGTCGCAATGGCTACCAGTTGTACGTCTTTAGTGTTCAGGGTTTTGCGTTTTGGATGTATGGCGGTTTATTTCGTGGGGTTTTGTTCTGTGTGCGGTATGTTCACCTACGGTTCTGATGTACCTGGTGTCCCCTTTCAGTGCGCGTCACAGAGTGTGTAATGTGTACAGATAGGAGAACATAGTCATAGCATGCCCCTATAGCCCCTATATAGCTATACTAGAACATGCCCCCAAAACCTTATATCAAAGCTTTCAGGCCCCTGTTGTACATCTTGGCCTTGAGAGCTTCAGAGCCTCAAGCATCCCTTGTAGGCGCCCTTCTTGGAGCCCTTGCGGAACGCTGGCAAGAATGCTTCGGGGGGTTCCTGAACTGGGGCTCCCGATTTTGGGATTCTTGTGTGTGTGTGTGTGTGTGTTGCAGTCGAGGCATGTGCTGCAAAGCTCCATGGCCCAGAGAATGTGGCGTGGGATTCGAGGTGTACGTTTAGAGTAGTTTAGAGGTTATTTGCGGGCGGCTTTTCGGGTTTTCAGGGAGGCAAGGGATTCGAAGGGAATTTCGGTATTTTGGAAGGATTCTGGGGTCAACTCGCCCACATGGCGTTAGCTCATCTTGTTTGAGGATCTGAAGGGGAGAATAATGATGAGTCGTATTCCCTTCTTTACAGTCCTTTCTAGTATTCCCTGCATAAATATGACATAATCTACCCTTGAAACCCTATTCCAACTAAGAGCGCCCCTACATTAACAGTTCCATGGAGGGTCCGAGCAGGAGTGTATTTTTCTTACCGGACTCTCGTGGTTTCAGGTGTTCGTCGACTCGGCTTTCTGGTCTTCGAGTGTTAGACTGCGGAGTGCTCTGCTGATGAGAGTGGAGGGTTCCCAGAGAGCCCAGAAAAACCCCTTAATTACGGAATATGGCTTAAATTATAAGGGGCTTCATATTATGATTTAGGCTGTGTTCCTTAATTAAGGGGTATTGGGCTCTCTGGGTTTAGGGTGGAGGGATTAGTGACCAAGGTGTGTCGAAGGGGGATTATTTGCACATGCATTGGAATTGAGCAGCAGTATGGTTGTTTAAGCTTCTGCTTCAGGGTTCAACAGTTATCACTTAGAAGCTGCCCCCAGCCTGTAATAGTGACTTTCAGCATTATATTAGGGCCCTATTATATTCCTATTATACCACAGGGTGGAGGCCCCTTCTAAGTTATCACCTAAACCCGAAGCCCTGAGACCAAAGCCTCGAGAGACTTCCAGATGGCTTTGATGATTCTTTTCGTCCGGTGGTCGAAATACAGACCCCAACCCAGGCATGTTGTGAACCCTTGCAGGCCCCCCCAAGTTTTAACCGCAAACCACACGTTTTCCTCATAGCCAAACCCGAAACCCGAAACCAATGCCTGCCGTTTGACAGCCATACAATCTCGTTCAGGTGTTAGCAAGTTTTTCATATGGTTGCTTTGCGCAGCTAAGGCCTCGTCCTGGACTTGCGAGAGCCTAAGGCGCAGAAGACGGTCTTCGAGCTCGGCCGGCGGTGCCTTGGGCTTCTGAAGGGTTTAGGGATTGGGGTTTAGGGTCTGGGGTTTGGGGTTTAGGGGTTTGGGTTCTGGCTAGCCCCAAGCCCAGTGGCAAAAGAAGGGGTTTGGGGTTTAGGATTCGAGGGTTCTGGAAGGGATTTGTAGGTTGTCCGGTTTAAATTTAGGGTTTTGGTGTGTTTACAGGGTGTTCATGCCGGCGGTTATTGTGGGGGTGTTATGGTCTGACAAGGCTACATGCAAGAGTCGAAAGAGTTTTCGGCGGTCTCTAAAGGTTGTTCTAGAGTTTTCGCATGGGGCATTAGAAAGTTGAAGTCACTGTTCAGAGCTTTAGGGTTCTGGCCAGTTCTGGCGGTTGAATGCGGCAGGGCTCCGTGTTTCATGTTTGGAGTGCGACTTGAGGCACACGGCGTTCAGGGCTTGGGGTTCCGGTTCAGGGTTGACGGCTTCCGGTCTCTCTATTACACTCAGTACTTGTACTGTACGGTTGATGATATAAATCCTGCATTACCCTAAGTAAGGACCTTAAACTATGGTAATTATGGTATATTCCTTATTATGGGTAATGCAAGATGTATGTCAGAATCATCAACCGTATTATACGCATAACCCTTTAATCCCCCACCTCCGCTCCGGACCGTCCGAGCAGACCGGGTCTTGCAAAGTGGAGCCAGAGCCTTGTGTTCGCACAACGCCTCCTGGGTTTAAGGATTCGGTGTAGGGTTTAGGGTTTAGGGTTTAGGGTTTTGAGGATTCGGTGTAGGGTGGGGCTTCAGCTCCATGATATCAAAGCCGCGTAGTGCCTGCAACGCACGGGAGGCAATGCTGTTGTATTGGGCAAGTTACTGCATGACAGCACGACGAGCATGAACTTCCGAACCCCAAGGCCTCCAAGCCCGGCACCTCAAAAATGCCAAGCTCTAAGCTCTAAAACTCTAGTTCTCTAAACCTTTAGCCCGCAGCTCTTCCGGACACTCTGAACAAGAGGACTGCTCAGCGTCGGATATCGGAGCGTATAGAAGACGTGCAGCTGGACGACGGGGGAGCGTCTCGGTGCAGTCAAGAGGTTGATGGTTGCGGCTATTCGCACGGTCAGAAGCAGCAGAAGAGAAGCTTGCTGTGCTCAACGTGGTGTAGGAGTAGTAAGCAACGCCAAGGACGCCAGCACTGATGATGATGATGATGATGATGATGGTGATGATAGCGATGATGACGACGATAGCAACTTGTATGCTAGTAAGCAGCGTTGGTCGGAGTAGTACCGTGGCTGCAGAGCAGTTGTCTCTGTCAGCTCGAACAATGTTGATCATTGATCTTCGTTATCATGTTGGTCTTCATCACAGTGGCCTGGTCACCATCAGTTTTGCTCCTGATGATGATCTTGACCGGCACCACCTCCACCCGATAACCGACGTTCTGATTGGAAATAAGCCAAAAACCCTAAAGGACATACGTAATCCACGCTTTGGAGAGGGCTCAGGGCTCGGTCTTCTAAGCCGATGATGCTGCCCTGCGCTGGTTTGGTCGTAGCTTGTTTTTTGGGGGCCAGGGGAAGAAGGTTCTTTGCATTTCCAGAAAACCTAAAGCCCTAAGCTTGGCACTCCAAAGCTTTCAACCCTAAGCCCCCACCCTAAGCTTGGCACTCCAAAGCTTTCAACCCTAAGCCCCTACCAAAAAATGGACAGAACTCCGTAAACCTCAACCTAAACCTTAAATCCTAAACTCTGAATCCTAAACCTAGACTCCTAAACCAAAGCCTGCTCAAGCCTCAGCCGGCTACACTGCGTAGCGTGGCCCTTACCTGGAGCATCTTGGGGCCCAGCAAGCAAGGCTGCAACAAGGGTAGCTATAACTTATACTTATTTGTAGTATTTATACCCCCAATGAAAAGGTACTTTTAACCTTATGAGACCCAGAGGCTCGAAGTTCCTGCCACGCCGGAACATAGGATGTTTAGGGTTCTAGGGTGAGAACGCATGAAGGGCTTCCGGACTTTCAGCGGGCTCTTAGGGATTTCGGGGTTTGGGGACTTAAGGGTCTATGTCTGAAAGTTTACGGCTTCACTTTTCCGGCTCCATGGCCCCTTCTGCGAAGCTCTAAGCCACTGAAGCTCCGAGGCCCTAAAACCTATATTGTAGTACCCTTGTAGATCCCTTATAGTAACCCTTATAGAAAAGAGAAGATTCCTTTAAAGGAACCCTAAACCCCTCCTGACCCCTGAAGCTCCCGAAGCCCGAAGCCCCTGCTTGGAGGCCCTTTTGACTTAGTAAGTCTACTTAGTATCCCCTAGAAACCCTATGATAGTCCCCATAACCCACCTTACTAACCCGGTTTAGGGTTTAGGGTTTAGGGTTTAGGGGTTTAGGGTTTAGGGTTTAGACTTACTAAGTCAACAGGGCCTCCAAGTGAAGCCGCTAAGCCATCCTAAGCAATAGAAGCCGCCTTATGCTCAGGAGCGCTCGATCTCCGTCCAGAAGCTAACGAGCGACGAAGCAGCGGAGCTGACGGACATCGGTGCCTGGCCTTGCTCTTTGCGGGTTTTGTGAGGGTTTAGGGTTTAGGGGGAAGTTTAGGGTTTAGGGTAGGATGAGGGCTGTAGAGAGGGGTTTCAAAAGAAGGCCTTTACACGTTTTTGGACGGATGCAAACCAGGGTTCCAGACTGGAACCATTACCCTAAACCCTAAACCCCTAAAGATGAGGCCTTCAACAAGCTCTACGGCCCGAAGCCTCCAAACCCTGCTGGAGCTCTCAGCCGTTTTACTGTATTTGGAGCACAAGACCCGTGAGCTAAGGAAGATGCCTGCATCTCACTATTCAGCCCCTTATGCTTTAAATTATAAACTTTCCATAAACCCTATATACTTCAAGGACTAAAACTAGAAACCCTACATACTTCCAGGACTAAAACCATAACACCCTACATACTTCAAGGACTAAAACCATAAACCCTACATACCTCCAGGACTAAAGCCATAAAACCTACATACTTCCAGGACTAAAGCCATAACACCCTACCTACTTCAGGGTGTCCCCCTATGCGTGAGGAGTCGTGGGCTCTCTTGGGTGCTTCCCCAGATCGGTTCAAGATGACCGGAGCCCTTACTGGGAGGATCATGGGACTTAGTAAGGTTATAAGTACCTCAATTGAGCTGCGGTTTTTTTTGTTCGGAAGATCTATCGCTACTTAACGTGGAAATTATTCCTCTTGGATATCCTGAAATGGGCTTGGGACTGTGGGCGCGGAAGGATGCGGAAGGGTTTGCGGAAGCGATGTGGCTGCGGAAGCTCCCGCGGAAGGTCTGAATCACGAACAGGCTGTAGAGCATAAGCTAAGCTTGCAAGATATGGTATCTACGTTAATACACACACAAGATCGGAAGCTTAAAGGAGTGTACAGATTACAACCCCAAACCCAGTGAAGGGCCTACCGAATGATATCAGGCTGCCGTGTGTCACTTGTTTGTGGACTGTGGAACCCCGGTCACATTTCTGGAGCCCCAAGGGAGGTTGGAGCTATGTTGCTATATCTTACACCCTTAAGCTTGCTTGGCTGGCATCGTGATGGTCTCTTTGGTGGAGCTCGCGCTGCCGGAAGAGGCACGCCGGGTTAAAAATCATAGCACATTGGACATGTTCCGAACACATGTGTGGCGATGCAAGCTGCAGTACTCGGTTACAGGCTGAACGAGTCTTGACTGGACCATGCGATGTGCGGCAGGGGTCTCGGCTCTTCTGACGTGTAGCAGCCTGTTTGAGCGATGCTTCCTTCTGCCCCGGCTCAGTGTGGGGTACGCGGTTGTGTGGGCAATATGGAAGTAAAGCGTGCGAAAGGCATCAAGCGGGCTCGGTGCGACTTTAAATCGCACCATGAGGCTTATCTTGTCCGTGGCGAGGGAGGTGACATTCTCTGGGAATGGACGACTCGCGGGCGCTCTGGCTTGAAAGGCACACTTGTCGATGAAGGCCCGGGACAACACTCTGAAAGCAGAGGGTTATTACGGATACTGCTTTGCGTAGCTTCTCATTAAATTAGTCTCAGCGAAAATGCATGGCTCAGCTCTGCAGGTGCCGAGACGATGCTAGTGGACCCTACCTTGGCCGAGCTCGCTGGCATGCGAGAGGAAGCTCCCACCAAGGAGGCATCACAAAGAGCAGTAGCATATTCCCTAAACCTCAGTTTCGCTCTAAACCTCTGTTTCGACTGATACATGTAGGCGGTCGCAGATCCCAGCCTCGCAGCGCTGGGAGAGCATGGCTGGCAAGAAGTCCGAATCAATCAGCACGACGGCCAAGTCGGATGCGATGCCGAGCCACGGTTCCGCAGCTTCATCAGGCTCAGCGTCTCCAGCTGCACCAGCTTCGGCATCAAGTGTGCCTGCGCCCACGCCGGCAGCGCCAGTGACCACAAACATCGCGAAGCAGAAGCATGCCAAAGCGCCGAAGCAGAACAAGGATAAGCAAGAGAGTTTATCAAAACCTGGCCCGGAAGCAGCGCCCGCTGCGATGCCCAAGGATGCCGAGCCTATCGTCGTGACACCCACCAAGAAGTCCAAGAAGTTGGAGGCAGAGACGGCGGAGAAGAAGAAGAAGAAAATGAAGAAGCGCGGACGAGCAAGCTCTGTTCCCGATAAGCCATCCAAGCCACTGCCTGAAGGTTTCTCCGGTGTCACATCGCGCAGTGGTGATTGTTGGGTTTGCGGTCACGAGCGAGAGCAACATCAAAAAGGTTCAGTTTGCACCCTTTGCTATGCTCACGGGCGCAAGCTTCTGAAGCATCAACGTCTGAGTGAGCTTCGGGAGAACCCAGAATTGCTGGAGCGCGTCCAGCAGATTACTGCTGAGGTTCGTGAGCAGAGACAGAGTAAGAAGCGGAAGACGTCGAAACGTGAAGATTTGATGGCCCGATTCGAAGAAGCCATGAACCGGCTGCCGCAGTTGGAGGATCTTCTCAAGAGAACTTCCTCCGTGTAATGCTTTTGCAGCCGTGCAACAGATGCCAATCTGGCATGGGCAGCTTTCGCCCATAGTCCGGTGAAGCGTTGCTTGTATCGTGTCTCGTAGGGATGAAGTTTTCAGTGCAGCTTTTGATCCGATTGCACACTGGGGCAGTGGAGCCTGTACAACAGCACGGGGCTTGGGACGGGGACGCGTGCAATGGGTCAAAATGGGCAATCTTCATTGGAACTTGTTAGCCTGGTGGTTGCAGTGTGTCGTCGGCATGCCGTTCATGGTACGGTACGCAGGGCCTCTGTTTTCTTACACTGTAGTCGGACCGTACCTCCCAGATTCCCACACTGGGCCCCACTCAGCAGATTGAGGCCCGCAAGAAGCTCGAAACCTGCAGTGCAACCCTGCATTGGGGCAGGCTCGGCGACGATGGCACCGTCTGGAAGTACGACTTCGCATACTTTGTAGTTCATGTCCATGTGTATGTGTGTGTGCACATGATTGATTAAGCATAGATAAGCATGTACATACATAGACCCACACGCGCACACATGCATACATACATGTATGCATATGTCTATGAGAGGCGAAGGCATGTACAATTATGGAAGCACCCAGGAACGATGGGTCATGGCTCTTTGCATATCGCCGGGTTGTTGTCAAGAAAGTCGCAGGCCGTAAAGTCGTGATCCTCATGCCTCTAAATCAAGAAAGACCCGAAGATGTCAATGCATGGGGACGTAATTCCACGAGATGCTGGACTAGATCAAGATCGGATGCCCGCCAGAAGGCACCAGCATCAAGTAAAGTCTGCTAGATGTTAGGTCGTACAGCCCTCGCCAACCCCGACCACAAGGCCCAAACTTTACATCCGCCAGCCCCCATAGAGCTTGAAACCCGGAATACATATCCTAAACCCTCACCTCTTAAGCCTGAACTTCCCGGCTTGAACCGGCATGTGCACTCGCAGATGTGCCACTGGTGCCTTGGGTTTAGGCTTCGGGGTTTCAGGGCTTATTGGGGGATCTTTGTCCACACTATGTCCGAAACTTCGCTTCTGTGAGCTTTGCTTATGTGGGGATCTTTGCCCACAGTACGTCCGAAACTTCGCTTCTGTGAGCTTTGCTTATTGGGGGATTTTTGTCCACACTACGTCCGAAACTTCGCTTCTGTGAGCTTTGCTTATTGGGGGATCTTTGTCCACACTACGTCCGAAACTTCGCTTCTGTGAGCTTTGCTCATTGGGGGATCTTTGTCCACACTACGTCCGAAACTTCGCTTCTGTGAGCTTTGCTTATTGGGGGATCTTTGTCCACACTACGTCGTTGGAGGCAAAAATTGTGGGTGGGTGTTGGCAATCCGCGGAAGCTCCGCGCAAGCTGCGCGGAAGGTGCGCGGAAGGGGAACCCTGCCAAGTCGAGCCATAGCCCTTCGTAAGTGTCGCCGCAGTCATCCATAGGAGTGGTTGTCGAAGCTTGTTTGTACATTGAATTTGTATTCTTGGGGTGGGCTCGGGATTCGATTGCCAGAACTCCTGCAGGTTCTTCCCAAAGTCCTTTGCGTAGCACTTGCTTCGGTCAAAAATGCCATGGTCCGCGGACAGCCGCAGAAATCATGGGCTGAGCTTGGCAGCAAACGGCGAAAGCAACTTTTGACAGCGTGGTTGGATGAGATCAAACCGTATGTGCGTTCTCGGGAGGATTGTGGGCTGGTGCTAGACGCGATTTCTGCAGAACTGGGTGCAATCCACGGTCTTGTGCGCCGCAGTGGGGAGGAAGATGGTAAGTGCGAACGCTTATTATCTCAACTCGGAGCTTTACGCCAAGGCGTGCCAAGCACGAGAGCCTTAGACAAGGCTTCTATCAGCGTATCTCAACTCGATTCGGCAGTGCAGGCGGTCGGTATGGATATGGAGGAGTTGCGGAAGTGCCAATACCCGATTTCCAAACATTCCTTGAGGCCCCTTGCTTCTACTTCAGCACCTTCGCGAAAACGTGGTCGCAAAACAAAAGTGCACAACAAGAGTTTGATTGATTTGGTAAAACAGCAACTCGAGCACCATGTCAAGGAGTCCGAGCGTGTCGTTGTCATTGGGCGAGGGTCGAGTCGCAAAATGGCGTTGGCACAGCACCTAACAAAGAAGAGGTACCGCGTGTACATGGAGGAGCCCTCCCTACACCAGGCTATGTCATGGACGGTTTTCCACCGCATTCTGAAACTTCACTTTCCGTATGTCAAGAACCCTAGGCGGCGCACAGATGTTTGCTCACATTGCAAACACTTGGAAAGAGGTCTTCTACCCAAAGCGCTGCGAGCCATGGACAAGAACAGGAAACAGCTGACTGCCATCTGGCCGGACTACTTCCGTGCATTTGATGCCTCCTCCGTCATTCAACGCAAGCAAAAGGATCCCGACAAGTTCCCTTTCTTGGCACGCTTCGTATCCTATGTCAATCGTCAAAACTTTGATGCGGCGAACAACTCGGAACGGCAGCGGGCGCTCACAGGATCAGAAAAGTTGTTTTTGCACATGGCAGAAGCCGCCACAGTTCACGAGATGAAGGCTCACGTTGAGCTGGTGGAAGCTTACAGGTGGCATCAAATCTCCGCTCGTAGGCAAGATGCAGCTCTTACCTCCCGCGTTTCTGGAGCAGCTTTGGGCATGAACGAAGCACTTCTTCAAGTAGACTTCAAGGGGAACGTCCGCTACCCTCTGAGTTTCTTGTCGGATGCATTTCAATCTGTTGTTTTTGTCGTCGCAACTCTTTCTGACAAACACTTGGCCAACTAGTGTGGAAACTGTTGCCTCAGTTTAGTTTCACCGAGCAAGGTAAAGAAGAGACGGGGGACGAGTGGCATGCCCAGAACAAGCTGTCACTCACAGTCTTCGGTGGATTTGCGCGTGTTCCAAATTCCCAAGGTACTCACACAGAGCTGTACATTTTGATCATTTCAGAGGTCTTAGACCACGATGCCCAAATGGGCAATATGATGATCAACGAAGCCTTGTGCTTGGTTCGCTCGCACGACAGGACAGACTGGTCCAAGGTCGAAGCTCTTTGGCTCGTGTGTGATTGTGGTCCCCACTTTCGCTCCTTTGAAAATGCAGCCCACTTTCTCTACACTTTGGAATCTCGGACGCGAGTTTGGCGCTGGATTGTTCTTTGTGCTTAGTGTCATGTTTCCGCGGTTTGTTTTGATCTTTGAGTTTACTTCCGAGCCAAGGTAGCCCTGCTACGCATCAGGATCAACGTGCTTTACTTGGTGGAGCAACATGGAAAGGGTGCCTGCGATCGTCTTTTTGGATGGACCCGCACATGGTTGACACGCTTCATTCAGAAAAGCCCTGTTTACAAGATCGCGGACTTGTTGAGATGCTATGGAGACGGGGGCCGAGATATGATGCGAGACGATCCCAACGGCCCGGTTTTCATAAGTACGATTTTTGATCCTGGCGTGCACCGGCCTTCCAAGAGATTACAGCTGCTCTCGCCAGGGTTAAAAATCACGCGAACGTACAGTTTGTCTGGTTGCCCCGATGCCTCCGCTCGGAAAGGTGTTCGCATCCACAACAACGTCTTCAGCGACCTCTCCAATGCCACAAGAATGTCCTACGAAATTTCGGCATCCATTGACGAAGACCGCGTTCCATGGCGAAGAGGCTATTATGATAAGCCTCGCTCCTGGGAAGATCCAGGTCCTGACCCGGGTGATGAGAACGAAATCACCCGGCGCTTTTCTGATCAGCGAAGCTTGGTTCCCGACATTTTGCCGAGCCCAAAGCGAACAGTTCAGGAGAAGATCAACGCCAAAGTTCAACAAATGCGCCGACAAGCTAACAAAAAGAAACGACAGTTGGCTACTTTGAAAGAGGCCGCGGAAGACAGCGAGTCCTCCAGCAGCTCTAGTAGTGGTTCCAGCTCCAGCTCTTCGTCAAACTCGGATGCTTGTGAGGGCTGACAAGTCCGCAAAAAGGAGCTCCAGTTGCACAAACGCGTCACAGTTCGCAACTTGCGAAGCATACTTTGTCAGGCCTTGAAAATCAACGCTCGGTACGTGGACGTTTGAGGTACGAGAAGTTGGTGTGCTACACTGATGGGGGGAAAGAGGCCTTGAAAATCTTCGCGCGGTACGTGGATGTCGCTTTTGGGGGGTCATCGAAATGTGTATCGGGTACTACCACTACTACTGCTACCACTACTACTACTACTACTACTACTGCTACTACTGCTACTTTCTGCTAACTATATTTTCCCTTTTCCACCGCCGTTCGAGGCCGAGCACGAGGTGAGAGGGCCCGTGGGGAGCTAACGGGGGGAAGCGGTGTGGCCGGCTTCCTGTACGTACCCCCCTTACCGTCCGGGCGGCGGTTGAAATCACTTCTGCTTACTACTTCCATACTGCTGCTGCTATACCACTCCTACTGCTACTCCTCCTCCTGCTGCTTCTGCTTTTACGTCTACTGCTGCTACTACTACTACTGCTACTACTACTACTACTACTACTACTACTACTACTACTACTACTTCACTGCCTCTGCCACTGCTACTGCTACTCCTACTGCTACTCCTACTGCTACTGCTGCTGCTGCTACTGCTGCTGCTACTGCTGCTACTGCTGCTACTGCTGCTACTGCTGCTACTGCTACTGCTACTGCTACTACTGCTCCTCCTGCCACAACAACTACTACTGCGACCACTGCTGCATGAGTTGAGGGATACGGATGTCAATACGGGGTTATCATACATCCCCCATTGGTTCTTTTACCCGACGCATTCTGGCTTCCTAAAACGCGTCTCGCAAAGACTACAACACGACCCGCGGAAGGTCAGATAGTGTAATGTGGCGAAAACACGCTGCGGAAGGGTCCTGCGGAAGCAAGTGGTTCCAAGAGCCGCGCGGAAGCACCCTTTCGCACGGCGGAAGGGATGCGGAAGGGCTTTGCGGAAGGGGGATTAATTTTAGCTTTTGCTTGGAATAAAAACCAAAGCTCAATTGGGGTTATAAGTAGTTATAGGTATAGTGACCATACTTATAACCTTACTTACAAAGTCCCAGGATGCTCCAAGTAAAGGAGCCAATATAAGGAGCAACCCTAAACCCCCCGAGTACACCATAAACCCAAAACCCTACAAGCCCGAAACCCTAAACACTCCGAAAACACCATAAACCACAAACCATAAACCACAAACCCCATGAACCCTAAACCCTGAACCCTAAAGTTCCTAAACCTCCTATGGGGCCAACGCTCCTGACCCACTGGGTCTTTCGTCGACGGCTGGTACCTTAGGCGGACAAAGGAGTTCAAACAAAGGTTCCTAAACCCTAACCCCTCCGAGATCCCTAAACCCCAAACCCCATAAACCTTGAACCCTAAAGTTCCTAAACCCTAAAGTTCGTCAACCCTAACCCCTCCGAGATCGGATGAAGATCCGGGTCTTTAACTTCCTGGAGCGGCCGAAGTCGTCCATGGCGGCCCTGGCGTGGCCGCTCGACGGTTTAGGGTTTAGGGTTTAGGTGTTTTTTGCAGGGTTTAATATGGGGGCCTAGGGTTCCCTTTAAAGGGTCTATAAAGGATCTATAGTAGGGTTCTATAATAGAGGGGCCTTGATAATTACCTATACTATTTTGGGTGTTCCTTATTATCATCATAGTATAATGGGCCCCAAAACCCTATTCCCATCATTCAGGCCCCTGTTTTAGGATTTGGGATGGCTTTCGGATGATTTTCGTTGAGAGGTTTTATAGGAGTTCAGTTTTATGTTATAGAAGTTTCAGGAGTTTAAAGCTTGGGCCTTTAGAGTTTGTCCGGATTCTGCGGTTTGAGCGGTTTTGGGAAGCCCCTCAAATCACGAAACAGAAAGAGTTCACACAGGGGCCGGTTTCATCATCAGAAGTGCCCGCTTGTAGTCCGGACATAGCCATAGCATTGTATACACTCCAAAGCCGTGTTCTTCCAACTGCCAAAGCTCCCAAGCCCTATCGCTCGAAATTCCAACTCTCTAATCACCAAACCTTTCTCCCTGAAGCTGAAAGGCCAGACCCTAGGGGCTTAGCGGCCCGAAGCCGCGGAGCCAAAATCTCAAACCCGCAAGCCTGCGAAACGAATGCTAAACCCACCCTCATCAATCCGAAATTCTGCAGCAGTATTAGACCCTGGACCATAGGCCTTAGCTGTAAACCCAGAACTCCATACCCCAGCCTAAACTCTGAAACCCTAAACACCGAAGCCCGAAACCTTAAACCCTAGCCCCCAACCCCTGAAACCCAAACCCCTAAACCCCAAACTCCTAAACACCAAAACGCAAAAGAAAGGTTTTATGCCGACTGCATCCTGGTGATTCTCTGAGCTTCGGCAAAGCTCAAGCTTCAGGGGTGTCCTTGTTTGGGGGCTTAGGGCTTAAGGGTTTAGTGGGTCCAGGGGTTTCTGGGCTTAGGGGTTTGGGGGTTTCAGGTATAGTGTTTAGGGATAGTGGTGTCCTTGCTGAGGGTTTGGGGTCTAGGCGTCACTACTTATATACCGTTTTGTTCATAGTTCGATTTGTTAAGACTGTTTCGCAGGGTTTAGGGTTTCGGTTGGGGCCCTCAGCAGCTAGACCTTCCAGTCTGCCTGTAGCAAGGCTTTCGTTCAGTCTTGTCTTGGTCTCCAGGGTTTGTGGTATTGAGTTCAGGGTCAGAGATTACGTGAAGGTTGATAGGTTTTTGGGATGTAGAAGTTTGTGGAAACACGCCTGACGCGTTTCGTAGAGACATGGCAAGCAGACTTCGTGTGGTGTTCTGAACAGATCCATGGCCAAGGCGTCGTCAGCCTCGTTGCGGAGCCATTGGTGCTGGTTGTGTACCCAGAACCTGGGGCATGCAATAGAAGTAAGGTCTTGATCAGATCGATCGGCAACGGTTGAGGGGCCATGCAGAGGATCCGAGACCTACAAGTGTGCTTCGAATAAGTCCTCTACCTTCCGTGCATAACCCATTAAAACCCCATAGCCATAGGAGGCAGGAGCTTGGGGAGTATTGTGTGAAGAACGAAGCACAAGCACAGAGCCACAGTGTTGAGAGACGCGTAGTTGATCCAGCAGTGCCTTTTCCAACATGGGTTTACTATAGGGGCCTTCATAGTTGTTCGGTATAGCGTAGTGTAGTATAGTACTGTACAACAATAGTCTGTTATGAATGGATCGGGACTACAAGGATCATTCTCAGGGAGCGGCTTGAATAGTTACAAATATTTCTTAGGGTTCCTTGTTAGGCCTACACTAGAGAACTATTCCCTACGCTTTCCCTTCAAGGCTGTTAGCTTTATTGCTTTACGGGGGTGTTGTTACCAGTGGTACTTCTTAGGGTTTTTCATCTTAACTAGACCATAATATTACCCAACATCCTTTTCTAACCATATTATTACCCAACATCCTTTTCCAAGTGTTAAGGTCCCCCATGTTATGCTGCAGCACCTGACACCTCTAAACCCTGGCTTTGGAACACCCGAGGATGATGCCGGCGTGGTGACCTTGGTCAAGGCTTGGGTTTGGAGAACCTTAAGACCCGACTTCAACTTTCAAGGGACGGACGTGGATACTGTTTCGGTTGGGGTGTGGAGTTGAGGTCAGTGGATCCCTTTTTTTAGGTGACTACCCATGAACCTTCAAGAAGCCTAAACCACGAACCTTCGCAAGTTCTTCGTTAGTAAACCATGCTGCCAAGATGCCCTAATACCTAAAGCCGGAACCCGAAACGCAAACCCTGAAACCTATGAATGCACAAGCGTAGACTACATGCTTCAACTAGCAGCCGAGAGTCATTTCAAGGCCGATCGGCCGATCCTCAGCCTTCATGAAACCCAAAGCCTAGATGTAGGATGACCCCAAAAATCCAGAACCCTAAACCCTAAACCCTACACCCTAAACCCCACAATTTCCGTATTCCAGTTCGTCGAGTGGTTCTTCACGATCCTCTTCACCGTGGAGCTGCTGACTCGCTGGGCTCTTTGGCTTGTGGCTGACGTTCAGGATATGAGGATGTTTCGGCATAAAAATCGTGTAGGGTTCGGGTCCTGGGTTTTGCCAGAGTTTTGGCAGGGTTTCTTTTTTACCTTTGGGGCAAATTTTGGTACATTCCACATGTTCAGCACTTTTCGTGCAATCTTTCGTGCATGTTGCATTGCAGGTTCAATCAACTCCACATCTTTTTAATTTTGCATATTCAATTTACAAATCCAAAGTTTTGGTGGCATTTTTGCACGGCAAATCCCGCATTTTTTTCGGCATTTTTGCAGCAAGCTCGGTGCAGTCTGCCTTGCACATATGGCCAAGCTCCTACTCTGCTGCTAGGAGGCCCTACACAGAGAGCCCAATACCCCTTAATTAAGGAATGTGGCCTAAATTCTATAGGGCTTAATATTATGATTTAAGCCATATTCCTGAATTAAGGGGTATTGGGCTCTCTGGGTACACAGGTAGCAAGAAGCTAGAGCCCGACAGTAGCAAGAACTTAGAGCCCGACAGTCGAGGCTGTATGCACAGTGGACAAGTCCCTGACGTACACCACCTTCTGGAAACAGCCAGGCGGATGTGGGGGTAAGGGCTTGGGAGTTTAGGGTTCCGGTGTTTGCCCTGAAACCCAAAACCCTAAGCCCAAGGAACCCTCTTATCGAAAGGATCCAGTGTTGCAGGTGTACGTTCCCGAGCTCTGGATTCAATTTCAGCCTGGGGTGTTCACGCTCCTCTAGGTTCCGGATTTCGCGACACCGTGCGCAGACCCCAAGCCCGAAAACCCTGACAGTAAACCCTAAACTCCAAGCACTGAGCCCCCAACCCAGAACCACTCAACCCTAAACGCTCCTAAACCCCTGAACCCCTGAACCCCTAAACCCCTAAACCCCTAAACCCTAAACCCTCTACCCAAAACGCCTTAACCCCTAAACCTCCAAGCCCCGCAACCAAGAGCCCGACGATGCCCGACGAGTGCAAAACCAGAGATGTGATAAACCCCTACAACTGAACCTGCGCCGTACTTCTTAGCTGTAAACCCCAAACCCGTAAACCCCAAACCCCAAACCCGAAACCCTAAAAGTCTAGACTTCCAAGAAGCCTCGGCTTGCAGGTCGAATCGCGGATTTAATTGCGCAGCTTGGAAGAATTGAGGTGCAACAAGGGACTTAGTAAGTAAGGTTGTAAACAAGATACTGAGATCTATACATGCTTATAACCCGCGTCAGGGTACTTATAACCTTAATTACTGAGTCCCATGACCCTCCCCAGTGGAGGTGGACTCGGCGGGTTTTGGGAGCGGGCTTGTCGCCTAAAGCTTTGCGCTTAGCATCTGGGGTGCAGGGTTGATCAAAGGGGAAAAGGAGGGACCCTTAATGGGGACCCCTACCCTATAATGGGCTATATAATGGGTATATAATAGCTTTATTAAGAGTATTATACCTAGGGGTCCCTTTATTAAGGGTATTATACCTAGGGGTCCCTTATTTATTAAGGGTATTATACCTAGGGGTCCTTATTTATTAGTGAGTGAGTGAGTGAGTGAGTGTCGACCAGCACTTACGGTGCGGCCTACCTCCCACGTCCCTCTCAACATCTCAGGGGGGCTCCGCAAGCGTCATCGCCTCCCTCTGTCCCAGAGTTCAAGTAGGGGAAAAACTAGCTAGTGCAGACAGGTCACGGTGTAGAATACTAAGGTACATGTTTCAAACCCAAGAATCGGAGAGGCATAGCCCTTGATCAGGGATAAAGCAGGCAGGAGGCCAAGCCAGACGTCACCAACCGATAATACTTATGCTTTTATGCACCAAAGAACACACCAAGTAACCGGCAGCAGACGCAAAGAGTTCAAAGGGGGCGAACCGTGCGGCCAGTGCCGAGGGAGCGAGGCTCCATGCACAGAGGGCACACACAAGGCGACCCAAAGGCGTGCGCCATGTGCCGAGGGAACACTGTTCCAGCACCGAGGGCGAGCACGCCACCAATCAGGTACAGTAAATGAACATGCACACCACCGCGGCAATGAACAGCACAGAGGCGCAGCCCTGGAACAAGGCCGATAACAAAGGTAGCAATCCAGGGAGTTGCTAATGCATATGATGAGCGTGGAATACCTCACATATACACTGAATGTCCTCAGGCCCATGATGGGTGGAGACGTCGGCATCGCCGGATCAGTTGCAACAGCAGTTGAGCCAGAATACTAGAGGGCACTGTCGCCCTAGCACAGGGGAGGGGGGGAAAGGGGGTGCTCATCGGGCAAGAGCCCTTAGTGCCGCCGCCCGGGGTCCACACCTTTCCACAAGAAACCCCCGCCCCAAAGAGAGTGCTAGGCCCGGGGGGTCCTTATTTATTAAGGGTATTATACCTAGGGGTCCTTATAAAGGGTCCCTCCTTTTACCCTTTGAGTTGAAGGTCTGCCGTTTCAGATGCAGGGCTCCTTTTCCCCTATGCCCTAAAGGGAACTCCAGAAAGTTGGAATATGGATTAATGGGTTTAGGGTTTAGGGTTTAGGGTTTAGGGTTTAGGGTTAGATCCCGTATAATTTACCATAAAGGGTTTAGGATAATCATATTCCAACTTTCTGGCTTTTACCTTAAACCCTAAACCCTCAGCTCCAAACCCTAAACCGAGGATCGCCTCAGCACTGAAAGCCAAGGCCCCGGCAGCTAGCCTTTCAACAGACAACGCAGACAAATCGAGACGATATCGGTTTCGGGTTTAGGGTTTAGGGAGGTGCAGTAGCAGAGGCAGCAGGGACAGGGCACTGAGGGTCAACCCTGATCCAAAAACCCCAAACCCTGGCCCCTTAACAGGCGGGCAGAAAGCCAAGCTGCTTTGTTGACTGAGGATTCTGCCCAGCTACCTCGAGGTGCCTCGCAGCAGGGGGCTCCTGTTTAGGGCCGTGGGTGGGGCGTGTTCAGTCTTGCGAGGACTTGGCAAACTGTCTTTGTGTCGTTTTGGTCGGGATCCTAGTTTGTACTTGCATCTGTTGTTGTCTGAGACTGCCAGGTGGGCCTCGAATTTAGTGTTTGGAATGTCAGCAGACCCAGAACCTAAAGCGACGCCAGCACGAACCTGCCTACACTGTAGGATCCGGTTCGTCATGAAAAGACCACCCGAAAAGAAACCGTGGCTTGACTACGTTGCTAGCATACCACAAAGCCTTAGCCCTGGCACTTGGTAAGGCTCCCCAATGTTGCTCCCGGTGTAACATAAGGGGCCTTACTAATTAGAATGGGGCTCCTTTAAAGGGATCCTTAAAGGGGGTCTATAAGGGATCTATAGTAGGGAAGTCTGTCAGTACTTTGTGTACCTTGACTTTTCTGAGCATGTTTGTCGCTCCGGCGTCTCGTAGTTTGTTTATGATCACGTGGATTGCTCCTTGTGCTGTGTTTTCCATCATTGCTAGTTCCATCATCGCGAGGAGCGCTATGACAACAATAATAGGTTGTTGCTTTTACCGAGCATCATCCCTATTGTTACGTTCGGACACTTCGACCTTCAGGTGTTTGAGTTGACAGTGGTGAGAAGAAGAGGAAAATGAACAACCCTAAGCCCTAAACAGTACCTGTTTCATCACCACAGGAACCAGCCGAATCTGAAGAATCCCAAAACCCCAAAACCCTGAACTATAAACCCCCAACCCCCGGCGCTTTCCGCCCCCAACCCCCGGCGCGTTCCGCCCGTAAAGCCTTACACCGCAACATGGGGCCCCACCTTGAAGAAAGGTAGAAACAGAAGGCACCAAAAAAGAAGCATAACGAACAAGGAGCCACACCTCCAAAAGCAACGCAAAACACCTATTTTAAACCCAAACCCTAGACCCTAAGCCTTATAGCTAAAGCCGAAACCCTAAGTCCTTAAAAACCTTGCTAAACCCTAAACTCGAAACGATAAACCCTAAAAGAAAAAACCTTAACTCCTACCATTGGAAACCGGCCCCTCCTCAGCTTTTCATCAACATCAACTCCTCCGAATTCCGGCTGATGCGCGTCGCGAGGCCGGTTGCTTCTATCAGGGTTTAGGGTGTAGATAGGTTTTTTTGGTGGCAAGACTTCCTCCGCTTTTTTCGTGCATTACCGTCCAGTTCCCAAGGCCCTAAATTTTGGGGTTTCAAACCCTAAACCCTAAACTCTAAACCCTGTTGTGTTGAGACTTCTGCTTGGCGGAAAAAGGAGCTTAAACAAAAAAAACTCTAAACCCTAAACCCTTCGAGTTTTGGCAAGGGCTCAGAGTGTTCAGGGTTCCGGGGTCTTTAGGAGGGTGAAGGGCCACTGGGATTCGATCTTGTAGGGGTTTGAGGGTGTTGTGCTGAGGGTCTTTAGGGTTTCTTGTGTCTGGGATTTGGGGTCTAAGGTCTGGGTCTTTAGGGTGTGTGCTTAGGGTTTAGGGTCTTTAGGGTTCGTTGTGTCAGGGATTTTGGGTTCAAGGTCTGGGCCTTAAGGCTGCCAGGTTGTGTGGTTTTGGAGTGTTGGGGCCTCTGGGGTACGAGGAGGGCCTGCATGGGCTCAGGATTGCTAAATTAGAACTTTGCTCCACTTCTCGCCGACCTTCGAAGTGGCAACTGCATGCGCCATCCTGTCGTATAGGGAATCTGGAACCATAGATGCCCTAAGGGTTTTGAGTTTAGGCTTTTGCGCTAAGTCACAGCATGCTGACGGTATTAGGATCTTGATCTGCTGCGCGTTTTGTGAGGCTCTCCAGATTGGCGCGGCTGCAAAGATTCTGCCAGCAGGCGTTCCGGAGCCCGAAATCCTCAACACTTTCGGGTAAAGGGTCTAGGTCTAGGTTCTAGGAGCAGGACCAAAACGTGAGCCATCAAAGCCCACGAAGCCTTGAATGAGCTCTGATGCGGTAAACGCAAAGTCCGGCAACCCTTAACCCCCAAACCCTAAACCCTAAACCCCTAAACCCTAAACCCTAAACCCCTAAACCCTAAACCCTAAACCCCTAAACCCTAAACCCTAAACCCTAAACCCCTAAACCCTAAACCCTAAACCCCTAAACCCTAAACCCTAAACCCCGAAACCCTAAACCCTAACCCCCAAACCCTAAACCCAAGAAATTTTAGGGGGTGTGTGCTGAAAAAGGCTCCACAGCCTGAGCTTAGGGGATGGAGTCAAGGGATAGCCTACACTTTCACTCTGAATCCTCGAAGCAGGACCCTTCTCTCCCGTCCATCGATCTTCAGGATCGTGGCATTTAGGGATGTGCAGCAGCAGCCGCACCACCACCACCACCACACCACCACCACGACGACGAGGACGAGACCATGGACGAGGAAAGCAGGAGGAGGAGGACGACGTCGACTGCGACTACGATGACGGCTGCCGTTTACTCCTCTTAGTACGGCTACTTCGCTGTATCATGCTACTACTGCGAAGACTGTTGCGACGACTACGGCTGCGACTACGGCCCGAAACGTGCCACAACTCTGCAGGGAATCTTCCCCGCAAAGGGAGATTCTTGGGTGATGGCGGGGTCCTCGGCCGTTGTTGGTTGCACAACATTGGCACGCTGATGAGCAAATCTTTTCGTGGTTAAATGGTGCCTTGTTGAGCCGTTCTCGTGGATAGAACACCGTCTCCTTGAAGCAACCTTTAGGGAACCCACAAAAAATCCTTTCAGGCACCCTTAAAGGAGCCCTACACCCTACCATCCCATGGAACCCTCAAGGCAACCCTTCAAGGCATCCTTACGGGAGCCTCACACCCCCTCATTTGGGGGGCCTTTCTAATTAGAATACTGTTTTAGGGCCCATCATTACGATAAATATAACAAGGAACCCTTAATACCTATGCTATTTGGGGGGTTTCTTGTTGTAAGTATAGTATAATATAACCCCCTTCTAACTATTAAGGCCCCTATATTACTCTCCCCCACAGGCGGCTCCGATCGCCATGGTGCTAGTGGTGATCTGGGGCATCTACCTGCAGCACTGAAGAGGGCTCGGCCTCGAACTTTTGGACCCTTATCCGAGAACCCCAAACCCCCCATGAACCCAGCAGTTCCCGCGACGCCACAGTCTTGGAATCCAAGTTTTTGTGCATTTTTGCGCTGGCCCGCGGCAGCCCTGCCTTTGGCCCCTGAGTGGTGGCCTTCCCCCCTGACGATGTGTTCGTGCTTTTGTTTACAGGGAGAAGCCAGAAGCAGTTTCTGCACCCATTGTACGTACACACATTTAAAGCCGGGTGGCTACACCATTCAGCTTCTTCTCAGTCTTGCCTCCTAATGGAGCAGGACGCCCTAAAGGGGCTTTTTAATACGGCAACCCTCGAGCAGTCAGGCTTTCTTTATGCTTTCAGTGGGTTCCTAGAGATCGTTTCGCCATCCAGTTTCTGTTTGGGCATACCTAGAGGATCACGGGGACTTAGTAAGCCGGGTTCATAGGTAGGGTGACCCCAGTTATTGACATCAATTGCGCCTTCCGCAGCCAGCAGAGCCCCGAAATTTCACTCTGGACTTCGAGCCCTCTAAGCGCCTGAAGATTAAACCTCACGGAAAGCAAAGTCCTAAAACCCTTATAGGTCAATGCAGGAAGCCCCCAAGACCCGAAGAAGAGCTGGCCGAAATGTTTAGGGTTTAGGGTTGAGGGTTTAGGGGTTTAGGGTTTAGGGTTTACGGTTTAGGGTTGAGGGGGTTTAGGGTTTACGGTTTAGGGGTTTAGGGGTTTAGGGTTTAGCGTAGAGGGTTTAGGGTTCAGGGTTCAAGGTTGAGGGTTTGCGGGTTTTTTATTCGGCCAGACAGGGCTTCAGTGGTCCAGACCCCCCATCCCCAAACGCCAGGGGCTGGAGCTTTAAAATGCATCATGCTACGAATTGCTAAGGCCTTCCACAACCTTCCGGGCTCTTGAGGGCTTGTTTTGTTCCGGGTTTCGGGTTTTGGTGGTTTAAGGGTTTAGGAGTACGGGTTTAGGAAGGTTTAGGAATTAGCTTGAGCTTGTGGGTTTAAGGGAACAGCAGTAGCGGTGTGAGGTTTGATGATCGACCTGATTGCCGTTCCTTTTTGCAAGCCAATTAACGTCGAACGACAGCTGTAGCTGGCAGCAGACTCCTGGGGAGGGGACCTAATCCCGAAACCTTATAAGGGGACCGAAACCCCATAAACCCTAACAGGAGACCTTGATGCGACAAACTCGGCGATTAGTGCTGCAGGGATCTGCAGAGCTCTGAACCCTCAACAGCCCCAACCACCTAAACCTAGAACCTGCAAGGATAGGCCTTGACTTGAAACCAAAAAAGCTAAGCTCGGTTTAGGGCTTTAGGGTTTCGTCAGGCTACCTAGCGACGAAGATGCTGGAAATCCCAAAAGAACGGCATCGTCCCCGAAGCATACCCCCCGCACCCCCTGTGTATATTGAGTCTGAAAAAGCTTTTGTTGCAGGCACCAAGGGAGCAGAACAGCTTCCCAGGTCGACGCATCTGTTACATTATGGAAAAAACCGCGAGGTTACGGGTTTAGGATTATGCGTTAGAAGGCCTCCCCACCCTGTAATAGTGACTGTAAGGATTATATTAGGGTCCTATGATATTCCTATTATACCATTATTACAGGGTGGGGGGGGGGCCTTCTAATGGTTCATCTTCGAACCAGAAATGCTGCACCACAAGCATCACAATCCCTTAATGGGGGTTCCTCTAAAGTACCCTTGGTAGTATAGGGCCCCAAATTAGGGGATCTACTTTCAACAAGGCGGAAACTGTTGTTTTTTGTTGGGTTTGTTTTTTCTGTGGGTGCTCTAGGGCGGCGCGCAAACGTCACTCTTAAGCTCTCCGCACCAAAATCTCATTCCAGAAGCCCCCAAACTTACACTGGACATGGATCCCAAACTCCGGGCAACATCGTAATTTGAACACAGGGTATGACCTAATCATCGAGCACTGTGAGCTGAGCCGGAACCGCTCGAGCAGGAACAACCTCTCAAGGCTGATTCTAGGCGCCTGTAATTAATTACCAATACTGCCAGCACCTTTTTGGGCCTATCAATTAAAGCCCCTCAGATAACTCGCTCCCCCATCGTGTTTGCGACGTTCAGGGTCTAGGGTTTGCGTGTTTAGACCCGTCAGCCCCAAGCCCTTGAGGGTTTAGGGTTTAGGGTTTAGGGTTTATTGATACGCATCGCCGGGCAGGTGTCCATCCTTGTTTGTTTCGCTGTGCTGCTTCGGTCCCGCGTGGCCTTGGCAGCGCGCGGCTGCGGGCGCGGAAGCTCAGTCGAGCAAGCCACGCCTTCCCCCAAGCCCTCAACTAAACCCCTCGGGTTAAGAGTAGTCCATCAAAAAGCCCAGAATCGATCACCATCGGTTTCTCTGACTTGAAGGCTGCATCAAAAACGAGCCCGCAACAACTAGATCCGTTCATAATGGGTTTAGACTTAGGGTTAAGGGTTTACGGCGTAGTTTACGGCTTAGGGTTGAAGCCGCCAAACCCCTTGCTGCGGTTGCCGCATGAAGGCATTATACAGGGGTCGGAATAGTTCATAATAGCTGTTTGAATTGAGCCCCAACCCGGAGACTCCAAACCATACACAAGACCTTCAGCTTCCAAAACCCTGTTCGGGGTTTAGGGCTTAGGCTACCCTAAGCCCTAAACCGTGTGAAAGCTCCGAGATGGAGCTCGAAGTGGGCACCGGCATGTTGCCGCTGGGCTCCAAGCAGCAAGGGCCTCCACTTTGAGAGTACCCGGCTTTTCTCTGTGGAGCCGTAGAGGCCGGCGATTTAGGGCCTGCTAGGGTTTAGGGTGATGTCGGAGAATTTAGGACGTAAAGCACCAATGTCAGTGATTCGCCTGTAATCCAACAGCGCTTCCTGATAGAGTTTGGGTGAAAAGGCAGCTCTCCTTCAAAACGCTACTTAGGGGAGCATGCGACTTAGTTGGTAAGGTTATAAGTACCTTTACTGGGGTTATGAGTATAGTTACCTCATTTATAACCTTACGTACTACGTCCCATGATCCTCTGAGTAGGCTAACTCCTTCAGGCCTTCATACTCGGCGCTAGATTTTGCCGGCTGCCTGCCCAGAGCCAAAGACCGTAGATACCTAAAGCCTTGAGGATGTCGGGTTTGGGTTAGGGTACCCTAAACCACGACAGCCCTATACCTCACAAAACGGAGGGAGCCTAAAGTTGCTGAGCTCCGAAACGCATCGATTAAATTGCCCATTCCAAAGTTTTTGGTGCTGAGAGGATCTTCCTTCCATCCTGGTGTGATGTCAGTTTCCTCCCGTCAGATTCTGACAGAACCCATAGTTACGGTAGTTATGGAGTGGCTGTGGTTGACTTTCAATAGCTTTCGGGTGTGATAGTATCTTCAGACTCTCCCACTGCAAAAAAATCTTGAAGAACCCGTGGTGGCTGCACGGCTCGTCTTCGTTTCTTGAGCGGGGGATCGTTTGGGAGATTCCATTCGGACCGGTTGGAAAGGAGTCCTGAGTGGAACTCTCCAGGGCCGTTAGATATGGGCCTGAATAAGTCGTCCCTAAGCCCTCAACCCTAAACCCTAAGCCGTCTTTCTGGTAGGACAAGCCTTTGTGTAAGTGTGTAATTCCGCACATCCGACCAGCTCGTGCGAAGATGATGGAACCGGTGAAACCCTTCGCGCATGGTGTATTTGCAGATCCCGACAAATAGCGGAGCCTCTGCTTCTTAAATGCTGCATCATACACGAATCCCATAAGCACCCTTAAAAGGAACTCTCAAAGCACCCTCTGAAGGAACCCTTACAGGAATCCTGAAACGAATCCTGAAAAGGAACCCTCTAGTTTGCCCAACCCTAAACCCTAAACCCTGAACCCTAAACCAAGTTTCTTGAGAGGCCATGGCCTCCGCCTCCTCAGCGGCGTTGTTGGAGTCCTTTCAGGCTTTCGCAGGCCAGCGCCGAGGGGCGGAGCTCTTTTTAAGGGCTCTGTGGAGGCTTCTTTGAGGGTTCTTTTGGGGTGCTGAAGGCTTTGTGAGCTTTGGGGTTTGGTAATGGGTTTGGTAATAAAGCCCTAAACGCTAAACCCTAAACCCTTTACCCAATGTTTTCGGGATTTCTGGAAAGGCCTTAGGGGGATGGGGGAGTTTGGGGGTTCCCAGACATTCCAAAATCCCTTAATTAAGGAATCTACCTTAATTCATATGAGGGATCCGATTATATTTAAGGTATGTTCCTTAAATTAGGGGTTTTGGAAGGTCTGGGTTCAGAGAGCCGTTTGAAGCAGCCTCCAGGGGTTTTCAAGGCAGATACAGGTTTACTTAGAGGATCATGGGACTTAGTAATTGGGGTCCGTCAGGGGTCCTTTTAAGGGATCTACAGGGGTACTATAAGGGTTTTTTGGAATGGTTGGCTGAACTCGTCTGAGTGCACTCTCATGCATAGTCTGGCTCGCTAATCAGGGCGGCAAACAGTCCTGCCAAGTTGCAGGTAAAGTGCCGCAAAAAGGGGCCGTAATGGGCCTGAAGACAGCTTTGTTCCCGTTCCTCACAACGGCCCAGTTATCAAAGACTGTCCAGCCCGCGCTCCGCGCAGGGCTTGACCTAGCTACAAAAAGGCAGCAATCCACTAACCCTTTGAGGCCGGTCGGAACACTGAGAAGGTGCAACGGGAGATCATCGTCATGAGGGAGGTGTGCAATCCCGAGCTCAACAAGTCGCTTGACAAAAGTCGGTAGCTCCTTGGAGCGTGCTCCTTTAACAGTGCAAGGCAAAATTGGCCAGCGAAGGCTGGCTGTTGGAGGTCGAGCCTCCTGTGCTGTTTTCGGCGGCCGGAGTGTCGCCCAAAACGGCTTCGGTCCCAGGGAGACGGCTGCAGGCGGCCAGGCGAAATGGTGTTTCTGAGTAGAGATCTCAGTGGCCTCCAAGTCTTCTGAGTCCAACACATGGAGACAGTCTGGAGATCTGCGCAGATGCTCGATGAGTCTGTGGGTACTCCAGAATTCGACGCTGCAAACCTCACACTTGCTGCCATTGGCCAGGAGCCGAGCCTTGGCGAGGTTGCCATGTGCTTTGCTGGAGTGAGCTGCCGCAGCTGCAGCAGTGCGGAAAGTCTTTGCGCAGACAGGGCACTGATGGGCATTGTCGGCATGGGGATCTCCCGAAAAGGTGCAGAAGATCCAACCATGCTGCCTGGCTGAGTCCATGGACTGCCAAAGGGGCAACAGAAGTTCCCCGCGTGCCCGATGCTCGGTTCGCCGTTGCTTGACGTAGTTGCGGATCCAGTTCTTGGCAAGTCTCGGCTGGCCGGCCAACAGTCCCCAGGGATCAGTGCAGCGGGAAGATGCCGGCACGCATCGTCGAGCTGCAGCCCGTACTTCTTCAAACCAAGGACCCTCTTGGAACCAGAGAGCCTGAATGGATTCTGAGCCATCGGCCCATAACCATGCGGCATGCCGGAGCACTTCGATGGCGCGGAGCTCTTCGGCATTGAGAACTCCAAGTCCATCGCAGATGTCTTCATCCTGAAGCCCTTTGGTGGAGCAGCCCACAATGGGCCGAAATGCCCTGCGTAGTAATTCCATGTAGCCAGCATGAAACGCCTCTTTTTCTCGTTTCTTTTCGAGACGCCAAAGACCGGCACCATGTTTGAACCTTGCCACTGGCATCGAGAGGAGAAGGTCAACTTTCTCTCTAGCCTCCAAGAAGGGGTTGCACAGAAGCTTCATCAAAGGTGCCTGAAGTTCTCTGGCCAGAAGGCGCCGGCGGCGGATGTCTTCTGCGTCCCCACCTTTGATGTCTGCCAGGGATCCTAAGTGGATGTACGCAGGTGTGATGTGTGCGGAGATGGAAGCCCCGCCAGGAAGGGCCACAGGGAAGGTAGCACCCTCGGAAGCACACCATTGAGTTCGCTGGGACCGTGCACCTGGTCCATAAAAAATGGGCAGGAGTTCGGATTTACCTTGCCCCCAATTGATCGCGATGCCAATGTCGCAGAAGGCTTCCGCGACTTCACTGAGAATGCGGGACGCGGTTGGGATGACCTCTGCCGGAAAGGCGGTTGCGAAAGGGACTGCAAGATCGTCCATCCACGTAGGTGCCGGGACCTGGATGTCTCTGTGCACTCCAACCCGAGCTGAGCACCCGATCTCTGCAAGCCTGTCCCGCAGCTTCGCAAGAGTCGTGGCAAAGACATATTGGAAGGCCAAATCGGCCAACGGTGCACCTGGGGTGGTCCCCGTATGTGTCTCAAATGCGTCCTCTCCGTGGCGCCCCATACAGAACCAGGTCCTGTCTAGATTGGCAGCTATCAGGCGGCGGACTTCTGGCTGCACATCGCATCTGGCAAGGAGTCCTGGGCAAGCGCAGAGGCGATGAATCGGTCTCTGGCCTCCTCTGTGTGAAAGAGAATGCAAGCCAGTCGACTGAGGTATTCGAGCGTGGAGTCAGCATCACAACCGACGAGGCCTTGCCTGATGGTCGCATAGAATGCGGTTTGGCCGTCAACAAATACGACCCCCCCTGATCGGCGTTTGTCGTGTAGCTCGGTGAGGAAACCTCTGACCTGCGACATCGCCGTTTGCATAGGCGCATTGGGTCTGCTTCCTACTTGCCCCTCAACCCTCACAGCCTCAAAACCCCGGAGCAACTCCTGACGGAGCGCCCCGCCGAGGCCTTTGGCTCCGGCTTCCATAAGCATGATCGACCTCCAGCCACCTGGCGTTGTCAAGCTCTTGCCAGGTTTCTCGATGGGAGCGGCACGCCCCCCCCTCCAAAGCAAGGGCGATTGACACCTCATCATCATCTTCAAGATCAAGGGTATGTGGACGGCAGCCGCCTGTCCGGGGGCGAAACGGAAGATCTCAGAGGGAACTCCCGAGAGGCCGGATGCTTTACGGGTGGCCATAGAGCCAAATGCATGAGCAAGGCGAGGCAGGCAGATGGAGTCAATGGCTTGAAGGACGGTGCATTCCTCCCTCGCTGGCTTGGTTCGGATGTCAGCAGCCTTGATAGATGTGGCCCGCTCGGCAGCCGCAAAGTGCTGCCCGAGAACTGTCTGGGAGTCTTGGGCTATCGATCCATCAGCTAGCAACAACGCAGGAGAGAGGTTGGGCTTTTTGTACCCTCTGCCCGCTTTCATGACCCCTTTGAACAACCGAAAGAGACTTTCAGGTCCCTGTTGATGGGCTTCCTGAAAAAGCTGCTTGGTGGCAGCAGCAGCATCCTGCTTGGCCAGCCGGGCAACACTCCGACTGGCAGCATTGATCTGAAGGCTCAATAGGCCCTGGTGGAGGCCCTGAAGATGCGTATCCACTGTGACCACACGCATGCCCGCGGCCCAGGTCTGGAAGCAGTCTTGCAACAGCGATTGCTGAGAGAGGAGTCGCTGGCGGTGACAGTCCCGCCGCAGCTCTCGCCGATGTCGAATGCAGAGCCAGGTGGCCTCTGAGGTAGTAGGCCTGCGAGCCGAGTGCGTGAGCTTGGGACAGATCGCAGCAAGTCCCTTGCTAATATGCGTATTGATGGCTGCAAGATGGTCATCAACCCCAGTCTCCCAGGGCACTGCAGGCATACCATGGAGAAGGTGACTGAGTGCATGTCTTCCTTGCGGAGTTCGCAGGAATTGCAAGTCTAGCCGGGGCTGAGGAGCCGCACGAGAGACTTTTTGCCTCAGGTCCAGGGCGACGATCACCGGCCGGTGATCATGGTCGACTATGCCTTCAAAATGAGTGGCGGGCCCTAAGGAGCGAACACCTTCTCCAATTGCCCTGGGAAAGAGAACATAGTCAATGCAAGCTCCGTGTCCGTTGGGACTGATCCAGGTGGCAAGCTCTCGTCCCTCTTTGTCCAAGTAATCAGAATGCTCAAGCTCGTGCCGCCTAAGGAAGCCTTGGAACAACGAAATATTGTCAGAAGCATTACCCGAAGGGCAAGCCAAGCGAGCATTGGCATCGATGCACACAAGTGGCACACAATTGCAGGGGATCATGGCAAAGGCCTGATGAAGAGCTGCCCACCACTCCCTGCGCTCACAAGCAGTCGCACGGGAGGTAGGTGCGTGTGCATTCAAAATTATTGCAATGCGGAAGCACCCGAGCCTGGCGAAAGCCAGCAAGAGTCGTGGCCGGCGCAAAGCCACACTGAATCCAGTCGGATCCCAATGTAACTTATCGCCATTCAAGGTGCCGACTGCAACCTTCTTGGAAAACCAGATTTGGCATCCTAACTGGCCTTGGTGAGAATCGCTGCCTAGAATGTGAAAGTCAGGCAGATGTTGCCGGGCCGCACAGCTGCAGCGTGTCTCTTGAAGACAAATGATGCTAAGGCCGAGCTGAAGGAACTGTCTGCTAAGCGACTCCTTCTGGGCTTGAGATGCCAAAGAGAGGCAGTTGTAGGTGCAGACCTTGAAACGGAGGGTACCTTCCCCGCGATGAGGCGGATCCCCAAGCACAGTTTCAAGCGAGGGTCCCGCTGAGGAAGGAGTGGCGTCAGTCATGCACCCATTCGAGTTTAAAGCTGGAATGGATGGACTTGCCCCAATGGCAACCCATAACCATTTGAGAACACCATCCTTCACAGAGTCGGCGAGCGTCTCAGGAATCCCGCTTTGTATCGAATGCCGTGCTGCACCTTTAGCTGCCTGGTCTGCCAGTTCATTTAGCGGACGCTGTAAGTGCGAGCGGATGTGCAGGTACCTGGGTCGCCGTCCAAGCACATCAAGCAGGTGAGCGAGGGAAACAACCGCATCCGAGAGGGCAGTTTGTTGACTGGCAGCTGCAAATCCCTGTGCGAGATCTCCAGCCGATGTTGAGTCGTAACCGATCAGAACGGGAACAGGCATGGCGATCGCAACAGCGAGAGCATAGCCGATGGCGGCCAACTCAGCCTCAAAGCATGACTCGACCGGGGTATCAAAAGTGTTGGCAGATCCGGCAACCGAGGCCGAAGTGGCACAGACCCCAATCCAACACCACGTGCCTTGCTGCAAGCCAAGGGCGACTATGGCCCAGCCAGCGCGGGCCCCCTCTCCTTGATCTGGGAAATACGAGCCATCGACAAAGAGCTGAAGCGCCTCGATGCGACTGCCTCGGTCGGCCTTGGGGAGTCGCTTGACGAAGTCAGAGGAGCATTGCTGAATGCCAGGCACGTCGCCCCAATCAAGATCAAAGATCTCAGCACGAAAAGGGGCAAAGACGAAATCGAACATCTCAAGAGTAGCCCCAAAGCGTACACTCACATGTCGCCCCTGCTCACCGGGGGCTATCTTGGAGCTATCTCCCGCCTCGGGAAGAAGGCTGCACAGCTCAATCTTGACCTTCGTTGTCGGAGGCCGCTGAACAGTACGCTCGGTAGGTAAGTCCCTGGTCCCAGCAGCAAGTGCAGGAAGAGCCCGTCTTCCAAATGGCGTAGCGACAGACACTCGCTGCAGCCTTGCCTTGGTCTGGAGCAGGCTGAGACTTCCCGAAAGTGACGCAGGCCGCGGCCGCGTGCGTGCGGCTTTTTCAGGAGCCGACGTAGATGGCACGAGCAGCGAATATGCCACTCCTTGTGACAAAGGCAAGGGTGCATATGCGGCCGTGTACTGTGAGTGTGGCAGCCATCGAAGGGGCGGGGGGCCGTAGGTGAGATAGCCGCAGTGTGAAAGAACTCAGGCTGCAGAGGTGCTGGCATGAGGACGGTGAGAAAGACATCATCGTCCCGAAAGCGAACGAAGGCAGTGCCGGCAATGCTGATAGCACGCTCAGCCTCAGTGACTCTGTCAGCATCTGTGAAAATGCCGGATGCCCGAAAGACCTCCTGAGCTTCTTCGAGGGTAGGTCGATATGGCGACTCGATGGCGAATTGGAAAGGAGGGTGTCGGGCACTCAAGAGCCACAGAGAATTGCACCCTGTGCCAAATCTGCCAAAGATGTTGGTGCGTCTAGTGGCGAGCTCTTCGAAGAACCTAAGAAAAGCTCTGTTGTTGCGCTCAGCAAGCGCGGTGCCAAGGGGGCCTTTCACATGAGTGAGCGGCGGAAAGGCAACTGGCAAGGACCAAAGTCTCAAAGACTGCACACAATGCATCAAGTAGGTGGCCGGGGTGACAGAGGGCTGTCCAAGTGCATTCACATGGACCAGCTGTAGGTAGTCTCCTGTCTCGATCGGCCGCCTCATAGCCTGCATGGGAAGGCCATTCACAAGGAAGGTCAACTCCTGGTCCTTTTGCGCCTGAGTGAGGAGCTGCTCCGGCCAAGTGCCGATTGGAGCTTCAACGGAGTACATGCCTCGTCCATTCAAAGTTGTGTCGATGATCACAGCGACCATTTCTTCGAATCCACTGGTGAGCACGAATGGCACCAGGAAACGCCCTTCTTCCCTCAAGGGGAATGCCTGAGTCAACTGCACTGTGCCGGCATCGGGCAGCCTTGTTTGCCGAGCATAGGTGCCAACCAGAAGGGCGAGCGCAAGCTCTGGTCGCGAGCTTCGAACAACAAGAGGCGAGGTGCGCAACACTTTCGGACCATGAACTAATGCAAAGCTGAGGGTCTCATCCTCCCTGAGACGCATCAAGGTGGTGGTACTGGTAGTGCTAACCCCCGACTGTCCGAGTGCCGGTCCACCCCTACGAGGCCTAACCACAGCCCAATCGAGCTGGCTGAGGTCCGTTGGCAAGCTGATCAACACCGCGCCGAACTGGTCTTGCAGAAAAGGCGCTTCATGGCCCTGCAGCCTAAGCTGAACAGCGACATCAGTGGTGGTGAAGGGCACAATGGACTCGAGAACGTCCTGCATGTGCATTTCTGGCTCCACGGGAATGGGGAAAACCAATCCTCCGAGAGGCCTGAGATCAACAGGCAGAACTCTCCAAGGTGCAGTTACATCGACAGGTGTGAGCACAAGCTGCGGTGAGGCAAATCCCTGGAGAGGACACTGCAAGACATGCACAGCACGCGTGGCGTCGTCCCAAGCAGATGCTTGTGCCGCAAGTGCAAGCTGGTGCAAGGTCCAGCTTAGGCCCGCGGTGAGGCGACGGGGCGTCTGATGCCATGCGAACACCGTGAAGGGGAAGCAAGGCGCGCCGTTGCGCCCCGTCATGGTCTCGAGAGCAAATTGGAGGGATTCAGCCACTCCTTGTTCATTGTCAAACATCTCCGTGGGAAAGCATTCGCAGGTGGGCCTTGCAGTAGGATTGGCCATGCGCCGTGTGTGTGCCGATGGAGGAGGGTCCCCAGGCAAGACTGCTTCTCGGCGGCGCGTCTGCTCAGGTGCGGGCAAAGTGTTGCGCAAAGTGCGCCCTGGATCCCGGAGCCGCGCAGCTTCGGATTCACTGCAAGCGACAGTCACAGGCATGTCCTGGTCCTGCATCACAAATTGCAAGACCACCCACTCATACTGTGCCAATGGCGCCGAAATGGCCAAATGACGCTGCCCAGCCGAATCAATGAGAGCCAAAGGCGGGCCCTGTCTGAATCGCATGAGGCTTGGTATGGGGGCTCCCGCTGCAACGTAGGGCTCTAGTTCCTGTAAAGGGAGCACCGGTGGCACGCTTGCAGTGACAACATCGAGCCCCTGGCACCGAAGATCGAATACGACTGCGAAATGGTTAACAGGAGCAGAGGCTGGAGAAAGAATGACTTGGGGAATGGGATATCCAGCAATGGGCCTCGTAATAAACTGGATTGCCCTCACCGAAAAGGTAGCGGAACCAGCCGCATCTGCGGCGAAGTCACCCAGGACCCAGTCGGCGCCGCATGCTCTGACTCGAGGCCTCGCTCCCGGCTCGAAGACAGTGTAGCGGCCACGCCCCTGAGAGTCGATGCTGGGCCGCAATTCAACGATGATGCGTTCCAGAGGGAAGTAGAGGGCAGTGCCGTCTAAATCCGGTGGAAAAACCATGGCTCTGGCGGCCCTGATGAACGCAACCTCAGTCGGTCGAAGGACTCCTCTGTCCTTGCTTGCAGCTGGGCCCGATGGCACCAGGAGAGGCACCCGTCTGCCTTTGGCCTGGTGAAGGGCGAAATCTCTGGGCTCTCGCAGCTTAACGAGTGAATTGCGTCCTGGTTCTGCAGCATAGCCTTTGAGCAGGGAGCCGGGGCTAACTGAGGGCGCACAAGTGAGCTGCATAAGGGCAGCTGCATCGGTATCAGAAACAACTGCACCCCCAGAAATCAAAAAGTCGAAAACTTGGTCTCCAACCTCGTGGAAGGGTTCACCCTTGGGCGTCAAGAACTCGAAGGAACCCACAGGCAGCCGCTCGGAGGGACATGCTGCAAGGCAGCAGGAACGCAGGCGGGAGGCATCCCACCCAGCCTCAAGTGCAACGGTGCATACCCGTCCTTGCAATGGTCGGAAATCAAGAGGAACAGGCATGCTAGCAGGCAGGTCCTCTCGAGTGGCGATAGCGAATTGCGCTGCCGGGTATCCGACCAGGCGTTGCTGTAGCAGTTTGACGGATCGAAGCCCGGGGAACACAGTGACCAAGTCGAAGATGATTTCATCGAGAGATCCAGTGCCCGGCAGTGATCGAACCGTTGCATGGTCCGTTGTGCTGAAAGCGACATACCTGTTATATTGTGACCCTTGATCATCGGCTCCCGAAGCTCTGAAACCTTGATGCCAACGAAATGTCGACAGGGGTTGGCATCTGACCTCGGGCTCATCAAGGTGAGCCGGCTGCACTCGGACCTGAGTGACAAGGAGCTCAAGCGTATCACTGTCGGTGGCCGCATGTTCAACGGTAGAAGGGCCTTCAAACCGGGGGACAACAGGTCTTGCTGTGGGTGTGGCCAAGGCTCGACAGGAACCGTCCTTGTAACCACATGGCGTGCAAAACCGGCAGGAAACCTCCGTAGGAACGGAGGAGGGAACATGCGACCCAGAAGAAGATCTGTCATGGTGGTAGTGTAGAAGGGCCTGCTGAACTGGACCTGCGAGGTCCCGTGCTATGCAACTGTTAGCATGGCGGTAGCAGCGAGAGGCCCAAGCTTCGGCAGGGTGCTGGGAATCGGCAAAAGAGGCCTTCAAAGGGAAAGTGTGTCGGCATGTGTGCATGCACGACAACGGCCTACCTGACTCCTGTACACTAGGGTACACTGGAAGCTGACCTACCGGGACATCCGGCTCCAGAGCAGTCTCAGTCTTAGCAAGGTGGCTCTCCGCTTCAGACTCAACCAAGGGCTTCCCCATGCGCCCCTTGGGAATCCGGAAGGAGTCCCACCCGGCCTGGCTCGAGACAACCCCATCGAGCGGGTCCAGGTAGGCAGCAACCGGCTGCTCAAGTGCGATCTCGATGCGATCGTCCACCAGGCATTGGAACACCCCGGATGCGCTGTCGGTAGCGACATCGAACTCTGCTTGTAGCGCAATCAACTGTGCGAGAAAGGGGCTCACACAGGAAGGGTCGGAGTGCACAGAGTGGCTCCATGGTACCACTCCGACCGTGCTTGGCTCCTGTGCACTCGTGTAGCTGCAACAGGAGCCTATTGAGGGACTTTGGTGACAGTCGCCCCCTTGCCACCAGATGCCTTGGCATCCCCAGGTTCTATCGCCTCGACCTTCGTAGTACCATCCCGTCCAGAAGGCGAGGCATCTCGCGAAGAGATCGTTTCGGCCTCGTCGCCTTTGCGTCGTCTGGGCGTCCGAGAGCCTTCTCTTGGTCCCTTGACCAAGCCAGGCTGCTGCTGTAGCATCTGTAGCATAGCCTGGAAGCGAAGATTGGCCTGCTCCCTGGCTCGGCACTGCTCCGCCTCGTCCTCGATGGCCTGATTGACCATGTCCTCGGCGGTGTCCATGTCCGCTTCGCCCGTCGAGGTGGCTCCTGCCTGGGCGGCCAACTGGTTGGTCGCCTCGGTCAGCTGCGCATGCCAGGCACTGAGAGCGGCCTCCCTGGCAGCGACATGCTGCTGTCTTTCCTCCATCTGCTGTTCGATCAACTGGGAAAGTTTCTCCATGTAGGTGGTCCAAGCTTTCTCGAAAGTGCTGGCCTCCTGTTCGAGCCGTGCGATCTCCTTTCGTGCTGCAGTTTGTTTGGCGACCAATTGATGTAATTGTCGCCCATGTAAGCGGTGATTCTCCGCTTGAAATTGCGTCACCATGGTAGCAACGCCGGCAGGAAGCTCCGTTCCTGTTATACTCAGCTGGGCCATGAGCTGTTCCAGCATACGCCTGTCTTCCGACGGTGCAGAAGAGCTCGCTTGACTGTCGCTGGGAGGTGGCTTATTCGGCTTCCCTGTCTTTGGAGGGGCCGGCAGCTGTCCAACATCCGGGGCACCAGTAGGATGCCCTTGCTTGCCCTTGCCGGGCTGTTGCTCGGCACTCTTGGTACCCTTCGGATGTCCTCCCTTGCCTCCGCCACGCCGTCGAGGAGATGCGGAGGGGCCCGTCCTCTCGCGGGGCTGTCTCCAGCCACGCGGGTAGCCTTGACCTCTCTGGTCCCATGGCTCTGTCCTCTTCTGTCTTTTGTCCGGGGCATCCACAACTGCGACCTTTTGCCAGTGTTCCCCACAACCCTGGCAAAAGTTCGCAGACGCCCGGCACATCTGCTTGCAGACACTGCACTTCCAAGCAGACATCTTGAAATTTCTGCGGCGTAGGAGCCGCAACCACACAAGCCGCCTCACAGCCTGTGGGAGCTCTGACCGCGAGTGATGGCCTTCCAGATGTGCCAGCGCCTGTTTGGCCTTCCAATCCCACGGAAGGTGTCCGCTCAGCACTCCACGCAGCCGGGTTCTCGCCCTTGTACGGCGCCGCCGCTGTCTGCGGTGCGCCCCTGTCTCCTCCACACGAAACCTCGTTGTACAGAAATACAGTGGTGTCGCAGGTCGCGAGGACAAAATAGAAAAGCCCTAACAAGGGCGCTCTACCAACCATAAACCACCAAGTCAGGAAAAAATCGGCCGATTTAACAGCAGCGATTGACCAGGCCAGGAAGTGAATGGAGAAGAGGGATCGCGGTGCCCTTGCGGGTCGCACCGAATCTCAAGGTGGGCTGTCACAAAGGATCAGCCGCACAGGGTCAACGCGGCGGCAGGGGCTATCCAATCCGGAAAAATCCCCTGAGCCGAGACGCCTTATAAGGGTTTAGGGTTTAGGGTTTACTTAGAGGATCATGGGACTTAGTAAGTGGGGTTATAAATAGGGTAACTCTACTAGTAATTATTTATAACCCCCAATTACGGCACTTATAACCTTACTTACTATGTCCATGATCCTCCAAGTATGGATCTTGGGTTCAGGGCCTGAGGCTTCGGGATAAGGACTGGCTCGGGCTTTCTTTAGGGTTCTCAGGCTGTGTAGCGCTGTGAGTTGAGGGAACAGCTTCAGAATTGAAATGCAGACTTACTTGAAAGGCGACGTTCCGAAGTCCTACTCAAACGGATTGTAAGGGTATAACGGTATAAGGGTTCTAGAAGGGCTTGTAGCGGTTCTACAGGGGGTTTAGGGTTTAATGTTGCTTGGGGGTGAAGGAACAGGAACTTTCCACGGCACTAGCGGAACCCTACCCTGCTGAAAACTTGATTCATCAGTCTTTCGCCCACAAGCCTCCGCCCCGAACCACCGAACACTGGCAGAGCTATGCCAGCAGATGTCCGCAACGACTTCACTTAGAGGATCATGGGACTTAGTAAGTAAGGTTATAAATTATAAATAAGGTAGCTATACTTTTAACCCCAGTCAAGGTACTCCTAGCCTTGCTTACTAAGTCCCATGATTCCCCAAGTAGACCCTAAACCCTAAACTCTATAGATCCTTTTCAGGAACCCTATAGATCCCTTTAAGGAGCCCTTTTAAGGAACCCTTACTAAGTCCCATGATCCTCCAAGCAATTCCAGGAGGCCATGAGATGGATGGACGGACCTGGGTGAAGTGCCTCAAGGAGCTGTCAAACCCGAAACCCTTAAATCCCGAAACCCTAAATTCGGGTTTAGGGGTTTAGGGTTTAGGGGTTTAGGGGTTAGGGTTTAGGATTTACGCCTAAACCGTAAACCCCAAACTCTGTGGTTTAGGGTTTGCGGGTTTGGGGTGCTAGGCGTCTTGTAAGCTCACACAATTTTCAAGAGGCCTTTGCTCACGAGACCTCAGAAAGCGCATGCCCCAGGGGCTTGATTTCCTGAGCCGCCACCTGTAACCCAAAAGATCCGGTTTTTACATAAAGGCTTTGTCATGAGGATTCCCAAAAACGTGGATGCGCTGTATACGTTTGGTAGCCCTCTGAGGGAACTCGAATGAGCTCGGGACCAACGAAAAGGAAGCCGGAGGAGTGGTTGCTCTGAAGCTGGTTAATATAGGAGCCTTCATAATTAGAATAGGGTTTTGGGACCCATTTTGCTGTAAGTATTGTATAGAACCCCAAGATAGTATAGGTAATTCTTGAGACCCCTACATTACCGTGGCACTGGAACCTCGAGGGGTCCGTGTGAGGGGGTGTCTCAGGTGGGAGTCGTAAGTACTTCGCTGCCTGATTCCGAAGGCTTGATCAGGTCGTCGAGCAATGCGCTCAATCCGAGCTTTCGAAGCTGTTCGCGCAAACGGAAAGTAGCCTTCAAAAACCCCTGCACCCTAAACCCTGAACTTTAAACCCTAAACCCTGAACCCCTAAACCTTAAACCCTAACCCCCAAAACCCCCAAAACCCAAAACTCTAAACCCAAAAGCGGCCGCAGGACTCCATGCTGCTCGACGAGGACTTCACGACCGTGGATGCGGATCTTATCTTCGCCCGTGTAAAGAGTAGGCTGGGCCAGCTTTCGGGGTCTATGAGTCTACAGTAGAAGCCTAAAAGTTGGAAGCCCAATTAGCTTCAACCCTTACTTGGAGGCCCTTTTGACTTAGTAAGTCTACTTAGTATCCCCCAGAAACCCTATTATAATCCCCATAACCCACCTTACTAACCCTACTTACTAAGTCAAAAGGGCCTCCAAGTAAGGGTAATGTAAAGGGGATCCCAGCACTATTTGGCCTTAATCCGGTTTCCATCCTTAAGGGGTTTACAGTAGGGGCTTGGGGTTTTAGGGTTTAAGGGGTTTAGGGTTCAGTTTGAGGGGTTCTGGTTTAGGGGCTTAGGGTTTAGGGTTTCGGGTTATGAGTGTTGGGTTGTGGGTTGAGAAGCCCAGCTTGACTTGAGAGAGGGGTCTTGAATTCTGGACTGCTGCTTTCAGAAGGCTTTGCACCTTCACTGCGCGAAGTCTTTGGGGCAGCATGGCCATGAGTATGAAGAATGAGTAAAGTTACGGGGGAGCTACGACTCCCATTAAGGCCACAGGTAACACATGTATTTGCTTACTAACCTTCCTCATTTTGGACTTGTTTCTTGGTAGGCCTTGCTATCTCTCGCTCGCTCGCTCGCTCGCTCGCTCTCTCTCTCTCTCTCTCTCTCTCTCTCTCTCTCTCTCTCTCTCTCTCTCTCTCTCTCTCTCTCTCTCTCTCTCTCTCTCTCCCCTCTGTGTCCCACTCGCCCTCTTTCTCCCTGTCGCTCTCGCATACACTTTTTGTGTGCCAGGTTCTGTTTTGCAGGGTACTTGCATAGAGTGCTGGTTGGAGGATCATGGGACTTTGTAAGTACGGTTACAAGTACCTTAACTGGGGTTTCAAGTAATTTTAAGTATAGTTGCCTTATTTGTAAGCCCACTTACTAAGTCCCATGATCCTTTATGTAGGGGGGGGGTGAGGGAACTTCTGTCGTGCGTGTGCATAACCCTAAACCCCAAACCCTAAGCCATGATACAGTATAGAGCTTTGGGTTAGTATTGGGTTTTGGGGTTTGGGGTATAGCTTCGGGTTTGCCGTCTAGGAATTCGCCCCTGCAGGGGGACGAGAAAGATCGATTACTCCACCTTCCGACGGGCTCTCAGCGAGGCCGAGTCTGTCATCACTAGTTTAAGGTTTAGGGTTTGGGACCGGGGGGTTTAGGGGTTTAGCCGTTTAGCGGTTAGGGGTTTAGGGTTTAGGGCCACTGTTATACGATTAGTTAGTCTTTTATTTCAGGGGAACTTAGAAATATTTTTAAAATAGTTTTTGGTTCCTAAAGCCCCTAAGGGACAGCTAAAATTGTAATCGCTATATTTGTTCTTATGCTTGTGAAAAGCATTCTCATTGTTGTATGTATCATCATCAGTGTTGCCAGCAACCAACGACTTGTCAGTTTAATAGGGCTGCTTCTCGTGATGAAGCCTTCCTTCGTGCTGGTAATCAGTTGTTATCAGCACTATGTTAGCCGTTAGCCATTGTGTTGCGCCCAACATGTTTTCCCTCATGGTCATCATCGTTCTTTGCATGACTGCAAATAGTCACGCTTTTCTTGCAGTAACAACACTAATGCTTTGATCTTTGATGTTGTGTTTATTCTTCCTTCGCTGGTTGCAACTTGGCAGTATTGATGCCGCGATGCTGGCGCTGGAGGTGATGGTGGTGACGATGATGCACTACGACGATGCTGATGATGGCAGCTAAGCTGGTGAGAAATCATGAACCTGATGATGCTGCTGATGAACGTAGTGTCATCTTTTCTCGCTACCCTTCTGACTGTCCTCGTGCATGGTTCTTATCAGCACACATGATGATGCGCTTCAGGCTTTCCCTAAACCCCAAATCACCGGCACGCTCCCCTTCTCTGTGTGTGGGCTGCACAACCCTCTGAAGCTAAACATAAGGCTCTAAAGTCTAAGCCTGCCTGTAAGTCGTCTCTGCCCCGAAGGTGGCGAAGAAGTGGCAAATGTCGCAGGAGCAGGCTGTGCCGTAAGCCTAGTAGGGAGAGGTAGAGACGGGCGTTTGGACAACTGTCTGCGGCGATACGGTCGTCAAATGCGGACTATGAATAGAAGCCTCAATACTTACCTATACTAGTTTGTGGGCTCCTTATGATAATGATGGTATAATGTACTCCAAACCCTATTCCAAATATTAAGGGCCCTATATTATTTGAACCATCGCCATGGTCATGAACATGACAACTGGCATTGTTATCGTTCTTTCTGCTGCTCGGCCGCAGCCGCCTCCACCGCCGCTCCTGCTGCTGCTGTCGTTGTTGCTACAGTGAGTGTAGGATCATGGAGCAAGGTCAGGCCAAACCAGCTAAGAAGGAATGCCACGATCAGGCGGGTAGCCCCTAAACAATTAGCTATAGTATTTTTCGGGGGGGTTCCTTACTATAATGAAAGTACAATGGGCCTCAAAACCCGATTCTAATTAATGAGGCCCCTACAGTACTCTGATACTGATTAGACTCTCATTAGGAGCGCGACGACACGGGCCGTGTGGCAAGGATTGGTTTCCGGGCGCAGATCATTACCAACATTGCCTCGGCATTGCTTAGCCAGCTCGGCTGGGAAAGCTCGTTCTCACAGACAGATGGGGCAGTGGATCGTATCGGCCATGAAGGAGCAGGGCGAGGAGTTCGAGGCTATATACAATATGGCCGTATTATGGGCGGCCCTTGCTAAATTCGATGATGCCTACGACAAGCCGAGTTCTTTTTTTGACATGCTCGCAGTACTTGAGCGGCAGGGCACCAACGGAACCTGGTCAGGGCCCTGAAACTTAGC